AACCTGTGTTTACTCTCTGAACATTTATCAGGGGGATCAAAGATTGAAGTTGCAGTCTTTAGACAGAGAGCGTACGAAGTGTAAGCAGCCACCTGAACTGCTACTCAAACTTGCCTTGGCTTCACTTGTCAGTTCTGGAGCCCAGGAAGCCATGTTGCTCAACTAAAATTTGGAGCAAAGTCTGGAACTTTTTAAAGTCTCCAGTTAACATCCAATAATTATGCTAGCAAACACTCAATTATAAAGTTCAGAAAGCAGTTAGTTTCTAGCCAGCATCCAAATATCTGAAATCTGGAATTAGCATTCTTGGAATTCGGTTTTGCTCCTGATGATATGAACTAGGATGTTTATCCCCTTCCAGGCTGTGCTTTCATCGTAATTGACCTTTCACTGTTGCTCAGTTTGGGTTTCATCTTGCCACCTCAGGCAGGAGATCTTGACTTCATTATCGTGTGGTGGAAGTGACATAATTAAATCTTAATTAAATCTTTATATTTGAGTGCTTCAACTTTGAAGGATTGTTGAGAAATAAAATTAATTTAGGTCCTGGGGATACCTAAGTTGTTACTTTTCAAAATGGACAATGGAGCCTTTTTTCAAAGAAGATACTGTTTGGTAGCTGCATGGTTTCAGCTAATTGCTTGTTTGCAAGCTGCTTGTGTTTTATGACGGCCAGAGAATTTGTTTGAAGAGTGTTTTGCATGAATTTGGAGATTTTGATTGGTCTTCAGTTGGAAAAAGGCTAGCTGAGATGAAGGCTACCTAGCCCATCTCTCTAACTCTGCAAAACAACCTTTTAATGAGTCTGGTGTGAAACCTGATCATCCTAATGGAGATCTTCTTGAAGATGTATTGATGCTGTGTTTCCTGAGAGGTAATGGAACATGAATTGTGACCTGTTTGTATGCCAGAACATAAGTGAACAGCCATTTGTTCCACGTTTATTCTTTACTTCAAGAACAAATCATTCTTGATCAAAAATTTATTTTCTCAAAGTGGATCTCTGCAGAGAGGAGTCTGTTTTATGTTCCCTTTTGTAGTGTATGTGTTTTGGATTATTTTGAGCAATAAGCATTTGCATTTTTGTGTTCGAAAATGTTACCCAGCTTTGCATTTTCATTTGACTAAGTTTTTTGTGTTGTGAGAAATCAATTTTGTATATTAAACAAACCTAATGAAATACATCTTTCTATATTTAAGTTGAAAGTGGAAAACATGCGAATGATCATCAAACTGGATAAAACAGTTAGATTATGTTCTGAACTGTGGAGTATTGAGGCTCGAGGTGGATGTTCCACTCCTTCCAACTAAGTGGTCATTACGGTCTTTGTTCAAAAATAGACAAAAGAACTGAATTTGAGGCTAAATGCAGGTGATTACCTTTCACATATAGACAGTATTTCACTGTGTGTTGCATCAGGAAGCTTCAGCAAATCTGAAGTTGTTGATGATTGATTGAGGGTGTTGCTGTCTGCTGGTTCAAGTCATATTTGGTACGATTTTAAGATTGACTCCCAACAACACAAACTATCATTGAACCACAGGAGCTCCTCGGGTGAGAATCCTAAGTCCTTGAGTATCCTAACAATCTTCAGCTGCTATATTAATAACCTTCCTTCCACCTTGATGTGGAGGTGCTGGCATTGGACTGGGTTGGACAAAGTCAGAAGTAACATGACACCAGGTAATAGTCCAGCAGGTTTATTTGAAGTGACAAATTTTTGGAGCGCTGTTCCTTCATCAGTTAAAGGTGTGTTTATTCACCGATGATTTCATGATTTGAGACTGTTGAAACTTCGAAGCAGTCCATGTGTAAATACACCAGAATCTAGATAACATTCAGTCTTGGACAAATAAATGGCATAATAATTGCACCACACAAGTGCCATCCAGTGACCACCTCCAAAAAGAAAAAAACCCACTTGACATTCATGACATTACTGTTTGCTGAATCCTCCACTATTGACATCCTGGGAATTACCATTGACCAGAAACTAAAATGAACCAGCCATGCAAATATAGTTGCTGCAAGACCTGGTCAGAAATGGGCATCCTGCAGTGAGTAACTTGCCTCCTGACTCTGCAGTGCCTGCCCATCATCTACAAGGCACATTCCTGCTTGTTTGGATGAGTGCAGTTCCAACAACACTTAATGGGCTTGATACCTTCCAGGAGAAAAACCCACCCCATTTAATTCTTTTTAGTCCTTCCACCAAAAGTGCATGATGATGGCAGTGCTTATAATCTCTCGGACTCACTGCAGTAACTCAGCAAGGCTGTGTCGTCAGCACCTTCCAAACTTGTGATTCTACAGCTAGGAAGACAAGGGCAGCAGATACATGGGAATGCCCAAACCTGGACTTCGGTTGCTGTTCTTATTGCGGTTGCTGGTTCAGAATCCAGTAACTGCTTTCCTTTTTACAGCATTGTGGGTGTTTGTACATCCCAAGGACTGCAGCAGGTCGTGAAGACAACTTCTCACTTGTAATTAGGAACAGTAAGTAATTGGATAGTTTGGCCAGCAGCATGCTAAACTGCGAATAATTAAAAAGAAATCATTTAGTGGTATCAAATTTGGTACCACTGTGGTTGAGTGCTACATTCATTCATATGGCAAATTATCACGAAGCTTGATAGAGATGATCTGTCTGCAGTCCTTGCATTCCCAGCACCATCAATCCACTGGTAGTTTGGGTTAGACTTTTCTGGCATTGCAACTATTTTGTAGTGTGTAGCATATCCATAGAGACCTGACAGAGTTGTTGATGCACCTCCGGTATTCTGTTTCTCAACAAATGGTGCTGCCATTTAGCAGCTGAGCAGAGCTCTGAAGATCGGATCCGAGTTGTGGACTCTCAGCGGCTGCCCATATCACCATTGTCTGCTTTATGTGTCACTTGTGAGGTTTCAGTCACCAAGTAAAAATCCAACCTCCATAAGAGTGGACTGCTGAAGTGCACGTATCTGTGTTGTAACTCAAGAAGTAACAAGTAGCAAATAACTCTGGAAGAAGATCCTCCGAAGAAATAATATCTTTTGGTCAATTCTTTTCTTGGATATACTGTGTTTTTATTTTTGTACCTGTGAAGGAGTTGAAACATGAATGGAAGGGATATGATTTAGTCCTGAAAAAAACTATTATAAACATAAGAATCTCCATATATAGTCTTCTAATTTTTAATTGACTGATTTAAATCAAGTCAACATGCATCAGAAATTAAGTGAACTTCTGCTACCAGCTATTTGTGACCTCTCATTCTGTCATCTTTCACCTGAGGAAAGCACAGTTGTGCCATTTGGCTCCAGGATATCCTCTGTATTTGAGAGCTAAACTATTTGTTGTTCCTTGCTTTCATTCATTCTGTCCCTTACCCTTACATTTTTTAATGTTTCCTACTAGATGAAAAGATATTGACCTTTTAGTGAAGATGTTCACTTGATGGGTAAAGCACTACTGGTGAAAATGACTGACAAATGCGTAATATTACATGATCCTTTGGCTGAACTTCAATAGGAAGTGGATGAATGGGGAAGTAATTAAATGCTCTGAATTTGAAGGATGAGGGATTTGAAAAATGATGTGCTCAAGAACATTTGAGATCAAAGTGCAGGTCAGTGGATCTGAAAGTGTGCAATGTTGTTGAATTAGCAAACACACTTTTTTTTCCCCTCTGGTTGTTACTAAATTGTTTTCAAGACTCTGGTACAGCACACTTCTGCTGCTCACCTCATTGGGTGCCTCCGATTATGCTTCGATGAGAACATGTTTCTTAACTCCCTGCCATTGCTGATTTAGAAAGCACATGCCCCATCTACACTCCAGTATTGTTTGTAGCTAGAAGTAATTCTAGAAAGATATTAAACCTGGGTGCCGCCTTTGCTTCATACCAATTACTTACCTTGAACACCTGCAATTTCAATTAGTCAGCTGTTAACTCAATTAACAATGAGCTGAGATTGTGCTACTCTGGCATTTATCACCACTGTTGTGGTTTGCAGTTTGCACATGCAGAATCTGAAAGTTAATTAATTATTATAAATTAGGTTGTATCACAGATTTTGACTTGTAGATTGATTTATAGTTTCCCCAAACAATTCCTCATCTTCCCAGTAGCTTGGGAACCATATTCGGGTTAATATCACGATAGTTATTTAAAATTTTGAGGAGTAAGTTTTTGTAACAAATTTAATTTCTTTTGCGTTTATTCTCTGAATGTGGGAATTGCTTGCAAGGTCATAATAGTACCTTTTATTCTACTTGGGAGATTTTCTTGAATTAACCAAAATCCCATTGAATAGAGGGGCAAGCTCCACGATCTAAATACCTACTCCTTCTGTGATCTCTGTTCTTATGACTTTAAGGAGTTGGAGTGATTTGATGCAACTGAGTGGTTTGCTTCTGTGGATTCAAGGGAATTGTAGTTCAGGTCGATTGATGTCAAACTTAAGTAATGCGTTTGCCAAATGGACAGGAGTAGATAATTGGTTTCCAAAAAGATGTTTGTGAACTGACTAGGTTTTTAATGACGGTAATAATTCATGATCACTCTTTTATTGCCACCATGTTCTAATTTCCAGATTTTTTGTTTTCAGAAAAATTAAAACCCTCGAATGAGTATAATTTGAACTCCAGTTGCCTGAGTTAGTATAATAATATAATTATGACAGCGACACAGAAAATGTTAAGCCAACTGAAGTGTAGACATGCCAGTACCTGGTAAGAAAGGTAACACTGATGAGAAGGTCTAATTAGAAAAGTTCACAAATTGGTTTTCAGAGCTACTGAATGACAAAATATAGTCCGAGCGCTTTCTTTTTGTTTTCTGCCATTCTGACTCTGATGGTAACACATTGCTACCTTCTTCTCCAATGGAGCAAGAAAAATAATGTGACATTTGAAGTCTAAAATAACATTTTCACCTGGCTGATGCCAGCTGTGTTCATATTGCTGTGTGGTCAGGATGTTGAACACTTCTAAGTTGCCGATCTATTTTAACCAGGCCTCCCGTACACCAGATAGGAAGGACAGAAAGTCGACAGCTGGTGCCAAGAAGAGAAAACATTCCCGTTCGCCTTCACCAATATCCACACCCGCTGAGTCAAGGAAGAAAAGTGGAAAGAAAGGGTGAGTCAAGTTGCTTCTGTGCACAAATTGATTACAGGGAGCTTGATTTTGGTGGACAGTTAAAGTGGCAATGGAATTTGGGCTGTTTTTCTGTCCATAGAATGGTTCCTGTCGACGTTTTTTTTTCCTGTCACTGGAAAAACAAATTCTTACATGGGAACTAGGAATTCTCCAGTTTTGCTACTGCTCTGTGCAGGTTTTATTTTCGAAGTGTTCTGATTCATTTGTTGCTGAAACGCCTGTTTAGAGGTGATAGAGTACGTGAGTAAAGACCAGAGAATCGGGGCTGGTGGAGAGCCAAGTTTTTGAACTGCATTTCTTTTAGAGCTGGGCTTTCTCTGGTGATCATGAGTTTGCAGATGCATTCTCACTCACAGAAGCCTTAAATCAAGACAATGGTTTAAACTGCGATGACAGGTTGTACAGTGATGGCAACATTTGTTAAAAGCGGTGACATAGTGAAAAAGTCACCGGACTAGTAATCAGAATGCCAGGCTAATGTTCTCGGGTCATGGGTTCAAATCTCACTATGACAGATGGTAGATTTCAAATTCAATTTAAAAAGAAAATGAAGTAACAATTAGCCAAATAATGACTTTGTAACTATTCTGATTGTTATTAAATCTCATTTGATTTATTGCTGTACTTTAGGGAGCAAAATCTATCAATCTGACCTGGTCTGGACAACGTGTGACTCCACAGTAACGTGGTTGACTCTAAACTCTACTCTGGGCAGTCACAGATGCTGGCCAGCTAGTGTCACCAACATTCCATTACTGAATTCTTGTATTCATATCTTCTTGTAAAGCAGAGCATTATATAAATTCTAATGCTGTAAAACAGCAAAGGATTACTTGCATGCCAAAAAGTGGATGAAGCATGAAATAGACAAGATTAAGTGATCTTACAACCAATGGATCAGACCTAAAGTTCTGCAGTCCTGCCACGTCTAGTTGCGAATGGTGGTGGACAGTAAAACAACTTACTAGAGGTGGAGACTCCACAAAAATCCCTACCTTCCATGATGGGAGAAACCCAGCCGATCAATGCAAAACGTCAGGCTGAAACTTTTCCATCCAGCTTCAACCAGGAGTGCCGAGTAGACAATTGACGTATGCCTCCTCCTGAGATCCCTAACATCACAGATTCCACACTTCAACAAATTTGATTTGTCCCCAAATGAAATCAAGAAACTGCTGATGGTGCTACATGTTGGAAAAGCTATGATCATTGCCAACATTCTGTCAATAGTGCAAAGATGTGTATTTCAGACTAGATGTGCCTCAAACCAGGCTGTTCCAAGCAGTGACAACACTGGCATGCAACCAGCAATGTGGGTATTTCCCATGTGTATCATAAAGAAGGACAAATTCGACCTGACAAATGTGTCTTATCAGTCTACTCTTGATTATCAGCAAGTGATGGAAGTGACAGTGTTATCAAGTGGAAAGTGTTAGAGAATCACCTGCTCACTGATACTTATTTTGCATTTGACCAGGGCCACTCGGCTCCTGACTTCATTACTGTCTTCATTCAGACATGGTCGAAAATGCTGAGTTCAGTAGGTGAGGTGAGAGCGACTGCTCTTGACATCAAGTCTGCATTTGATTGAGTATAGGATTTAGGAACTCGAGCAAAACTGTAATCAACGGGAGTCGGATGGGGCTGGGTGAAGGGGGAAGGGGTGACACTGCACTGGCTGGATTTATACTTTGCACAAAGAAGAAGCTTGTTCAACATTGTGCAAGAGGGTTGTTCAAGGTCTAACATCTCAGCCACTGGACATCACTATAGGGTAGTGTCCTCTGCCAGTTATTTTCAATCGTTCCATTGAATGACCACCTCTTTAATAATACCAGATGAAGAGAGATTTCTTGACAATTGCAAAATATGTTATGATATATTTAGATTTTTGAAAGGCACCACACGTAAGCTACTTAATAAAACAAGAACCCATGGCATTCAAGGTCATTTTTAACATGAATAGGGATTGGGTAACTCATCAAAGATGACAGTTTGGATAAGGTGGACATTTTCATGATGACAACCTCTAACTAGTGGTGTGCCACAGCAATCAATACTGGGGCCAGAATTTGTACAATATATATTTAATGACTTGGATGAGAAAAGTGCATGTGCTATAACAAATTTATGATGGCACACAAATAGGTGGGAAAGCAAATGGTTAAGGGAGTAGAGAAAAACCTGGCAGATGAAATGTAATGTGAGAAAAGATGAGGTTATGCTGTAAGAATATATAAGCTAAATATCACTGAAATGGAGAAAGACTGCAGAAAGCTGCAGGACAGAGGATTCTGAGTTCTTATCCATGAATCACAAAAATCTAACATCGCGGTTCTGTAATCAATCGGGCCCTTGGGTGGGCATTTGCCCCACAGTGCCTGCCCTGATTCTATTACTTAGTGCCTATCTCCTGCCTCCTCCCTATATACCTGCCCACCATTTCTATCCAAATAATCATCCAATACCCTCTTAAATTCCTCAGTTGAACCTCCCTCTTCGATGTTTCCAGGCAGTGTGTCCATACTCTATCTGCTTTGTCACATCACCTTTGCATTATATGCAAACTTTAAATCTCTACCCTCATTTTCTTGTACAAGCAGAACCAGCTTCTCCATAAGTACTGTATCCAGCATGCACATTATTTGGAAAAGACCTCTACCAAATCTCCTCTGAGCCGCCTTCTGTCCAAGAAAAACAGTCTCAACTTCTTACATCTCGGAAAGCGCAAGGAAATTAGCTGTAGCAAAGTAGGCTCTGTATGGGTAGAGCTTAGAAAAGTCAAGGGACAGAAAACAGAAGTAGAGTTGTTTATAGACTTCAAAACTGTAGAGGTAATGTTTGGGAAGTCATTAAACAGGAAATTTATGACAAGCGGCAAAGGTACCGCTGTAATTATGACTGCTTCTCAGCTACGAACCAATTGGTACCGATTTGATTCGCCCACTGTCGTAGAAGAGGGATTCCTGGAGTATGTACGAGGTGATTTTCTCGATCCCATTAGAGAACAGGGCATCCTAGACTGGGTGTTATGTGAAGAAAAAGAAATAGTTGGTTTTCTGGCTATGATGATATTCTTTATATAGATTCAGGACCCAGTCTCAGAATCAAATGCGGTGTTGTCCATCTTAATGAAAGAAACTATGATAATATGAGGCACGAGTTGGTTACAGTAAATTGAGAAATGTTAATTGAAGGAATAACAATGGATAAGCATTAGCAAACAGTTTAAAAAGTGTAGTGGAACTACAATAATTGTTCATTCCTGTCTGGCACAAAAATACGATGGGAAAGGTCAGCACACCATGGTGAACAAGGGAAATTAGGGATAATATTTAGATCCAAGGAAGAGGCATACAAATTGTCCAAAAACAAAGTGCAGCAGACCTAAGGATTGGGAGCAGTTGAGATTTCAGCAAATAAGGACAAAGAGATTGATTTAACAAGGGGAAGATAAGTGTGAGAAGAAGCTGGTTAGAAACCCAAACTGATTCTCAAAGCTTCTATAGGCATGTGAAGAGAAAGAGATTAGTGAAGACAAATGAAGGTCCCTTTATAATGGCTGAGAAGAAACTGGCATGGTTACAATGGTGAAAGGAGGTTAACAGACTAACTAACTGCATTATTTTGGTCTGCTTTCAAAAAGGAGGAGGCAAATGGCATCCCCAAAATGTTGGGGAACACTGTTCTTGTGAGTGAAGCAAATAGTGTTGCGGAAATGGATAGGATTAAAGGCCAACAAATCCCCAGAGGCAATTAATCTACATCTCTGGATGTTTGAGGAAGTGACCCGAGAAGTAGTGGAAACATTGGTGGCCATCTTTCAAGATTCTGTAGATTTGGGAACAATTCTTATGGATTGAAGGATACCTAATATAACCACAATATTTTAAAAATGAAATGGAGGCATGAGTTTGTGTATTTCAGTATGCCTCCAAAATCGGGAAGAATGACGATGGATTCACCAGCATGTTGCTGAGAATGAAAAGCTATAGTCCACAGGAATTATTTAACACAGTATATTTGATCAAAGGCTCAGATAAGATTCAATAGAAGCTCTAAAATAGTTGTCATTCACTTTGAATTATGAGTGAGGAAATAATATTCCTGTGATGGGTAAGATAATAAAACTTGCTTTTATTCAGTGCTTTCATCAATTCAAATTGAAGAGACCATAGTGAAGTAAGGACAAGTTGGTTTCCGATCTGTTTGAGCGTGCAGTACCTGGCCACGAAGTAATTAAAGGAGAAATTGGTAACTATTTTAGGAGAATATTGGATGAATGTTTCAAGCATGGGAGGATTGGTGGCTGCAGAGAGGCTATAATGTGGCTGGTTTTTGAGTTGATGATAAATGAGTTGGGCTGAATTGACACCTTTTATTCCAAACTTCTTTGGTTTGTGCGAAATTGAAAACCATGACAAAACAATTGACTCTTTAAAGGTGTTCTACAAATGCTAGACTGATTTCCTCGGATGACAGGACTGATGTGTGAAGAGAGACTGAAATGATTCGGACTCGATTGACTGGAGCTTAGAAATATCATAGAAACCTGTAAAATTCTAACAAGACTATACAAGGTAAACATAGAAAGGGCGTTCCCAATGACTGGACGAGTCCAGAGAAGAGGTCACCATGTAAGGCATAAGAGGGAATGGTGAGCCTGTGGAATTTTCTACCACAGAAAGCAATTGAGTCCGCACATTGGATGTTTTAAAGATGGCATTAGATGTCGTTCTTTGGGCCAAAAGGATCAAAAGGCATGGGGAGAAAGCAGAAACAAGGTCCTGAGTTGGAAGATCAGCCATGCTCATATTGAATGACTGAGTAAGTTCGAAGGGTCGAATGGTCTATTCATCCAATTTTCGATGTTTCTGTATGGGCAAATTTATTTTTAATTTTCTAACCTGGAATATTATTGATTGCAATTGGAGCAAATTTCATGTCTGATCTTGTTTACAGTGGAATATATAAACTGCTATGTGGTGTGAGAAAGTAAAGAACTGAGGTACCCCTGCAATCTCTACAATCTTGCTTAATATAGTAATGTAAATTTTATAAACGCATAAACTGTGTTGCATGGATGCCAAAGCTCATAATGTTTTTGTTTTGCCTGTAGTCAGCCAATGCCATACTTAAAGAGGAGAGGGCAGAGAGATGAAGAGGAGCAGGAAGACCTGACCAAAGACATGGAGGATCCCACTCCTGTACCAAATGTAGAAGAAGTTATTTTACCCAAAAATGGTAAGGAACTGGTCTCTTCTGTCATTTATGTTGTTTGTAAAGGCTCTTGAAAAACAATGTTTTGGTACAATATAAAAGTTTCAAGTGTTGAAAATTTTACAATAGTGTTAATTCCGATATCTCTAGTTTCTTTCTTATTTTCAGCTTCATACTGTACACTCTCTTGGGCTAGTTATCTTCTGCCACACTTAATTTATAAAGGGCTACTTTATTTTTTCTGAGAGTTAGAGGGATACATTTGTCGTTGAAGAATAACAGTTCTGCATAAAATTCCAAATCCTGATCCTTCCAAGCCTATATGATATTTGGTGAATAAAAAGGTCAGTTCTTATTTGTTTGTTAAGTGGATATTTGTCACAACCCACTTGGAACGTGCTCTGATACTCTACTCTCGCCCCATCGTTCCATTTACCTCGCTTACTACTTAAAAAATTCTAACCACAGGGAAAAAATATGAATTATCAAGGTATAAGTCTCCTAGATGAAACTGTAACCCACTCCTTAAACCCCGACACACATTTACACAAACAAACAAACATGGATGTTCTTGGTGGAAAATCAAAATATTGTGGCAACAGTTTTGTCTGCAGGATTTGATGAAGTGTCCTTTTGCTTTAAGTCCTTGTGATCTTTGAACTGCTTATTCTTTCCAAATTTTTGAGTTCTTTTCTTTACTGCACAGGGCAGTTGACAAGCTAATTGTTCAGTTTTTCAATCACTGGGTTGGAGGCAGCAGCTTTTAGCAACTTGTGAGAGAGAATAGCTAGACATCTTCCAGATTTTGGCTATTTCACTGCGCAGAGAGAAACCATTTTTCTTTTGTGGTCTGAAGACTGCTGCCTCCTTATTGTTCACATGGACTCGAACCATCAATCCAGGTGCCAATCAGAGTATTGTTGGAATGCGAATGACTTTTGGTCTCCACAGCTGGTCTTGATGACGCAAAACAGTCAGCAATCTGTGTCTGGGCAAAACTTGCTCTGCACATATCCAGCATGCTGTAGCATTTTAGACATCTTATCCTTACTGCTTGAATAAAGCAACAGGGCGAACACAACTCATTGAGCTCCGGTAATTTGTTTAGAAAAGTGCAGCAACTCCTTCCCAAGTCCTTTTCTCATTGTGGTCCACAATCCAAAATAAGGAAAAATAAAAGATGTGGTCTTTACAATGTATTTAAAATATTTATAGACAACTTGTTGAGAAAGATCTCGCCCTACTTGTTCCTGTCCACCGGTTCTGCATGTTTTAAGGTTTTTTTTTGCAAGACTTTTTGTTGGGAAAGAGAGTGAATACTGAGATTCTAGCTTTGAGGCTATTGTGAGTCAGCAATAAAAAAAATTAAACATCTCTTTTGTTTTCAGGTGTTTTTGAGAACTATGTTGCGAAGCAAACCTCCTAAACTGATAGCAATCTCAGATGTAAGAGCTACATAGAGTTAGTTCGGACTATCTTGTTTCGGCTTAGAAGAGAGATCTGAGAAGTTCTCTGAGTATACAGACTTAAAAGTAATCCAAATCAAGCTTGATTTAATCTTGTGCCTAAATATATGAATGTATCAGCTTAGAAATTTGGAATAGAATAGGTTTAATTTTAACTTGATGAAAGATTTTATAAAATTTAGGATACTAAGAATTCTTGTTGAGTTGTCAGTGACGGGAATATGAATTTAAGATTGACTACAGTGGAAGAGTGAGGTTTTTATAGTCAGCAGAAAGCAGGTTACTGGTGCAGATAATTCAATGCCATGGAGTTGCAGATGCAAAGTACATTGTTCCTCAAGGGAAACTTGGATTGAGTTTGAAAATTGACAGTTACAGATTCAATACATTGCTGTTACAAAAACCTGGATGTAAGTTCAAGTTTGCTGTAAGTTTCCAGTGTGCTGTCACCTAAAATTCTCACTGATGAAATGCATGGAATTGGATACGTTTTTGATGGCCTGTTTATAACTTTTATTTTGCTAGTGAACCCCAAGAAGGACAGTGAGCACACACCTGTGAAGGGAGGCACAATTGCAGATCTAGGTAATTATACTTTGGACTTGCATCACTACGCTGGTGAACCTTGATTTTTCCAATATCCTAAGAGCTCGATAAATGACACCTGGGAAATGCATACAATTTCTACTTTCAAAGCTTTCTTTTAACTATTGAAATTGTATCACAGAGAATATTGGATTTGTGCCCATGTTGGGCCCTTTTTCTGCATTCTCTTCCCCTGCATGTCACTGCCATTGTTCCTACTTTCTGGAGTAATTGGGAATTGGGTAAAATTCCCACTGATTGGAGTCATACTTAGGCCAAAAGAAAATGCTTGTCATTGTAGGAGGTCAATCATCTCCACACCAGTGTATCAATGCAGGAGTTGCTTAGGGTCATGTTTTCAGCTCAAACAACTTCAGCTGCTTCATCAGTGTCTACTTTTCCATCGTAAGGTTAGAGATGGGGATGTCAGATGATTGCGTAATGGCAGCACCATTTGCAACTTTTCAGACACTAAGCGAGTGTCTATTTTCAGCAAGACTTGGACAGTTTCGGGGATTGGGCTGAGAAGTGGCAAGTTACATTCATGCCACACCAGGCGTTGACCCCACGTCAGCAAGGAAGAATAAAACCATTGCATTTTGATGTTCGGTGCTCTTGCCATTACTGAATCTCACTGTCCATTTCCTTGGGATTAATATTGACCAGAAACTGAACTGGATCAACAATATAATGCTGTGACTACAAGAGCAAGTCAGGGGCTGAGAATCCTGCAGTGAGTAATTTACCACCTAACTCCTCAAAGCTTGTTCATCATCTTTAAGACAGTGGTCAGGAATGTGATGGAATACTCTCTACACTTAGCTGAATGAGTGTTTCAGAAACACTAAATGCAACACTGTACAGCATAATGCAGACCACTTGATTGGCATCCCGTCTTAACACCTCTGCTCGTTTTCTATACCACTGATGCACAGTGGTAGCAATGTGTGCTGTCTGCAAAATGCATTGCTACCACTCACCAAGGCTCCTTAGACAATACTTTGCAAACCTGTGACTTCTGTCATCGAGAAGGACAAGACAGCAGATATATGGGAACAACACCACCTGAAAGTTCCCTTTCAAACCACTTTCCATTCTAACTTGGAACTATATTGCCTTTCCTTCTGTCGCTGGTATAGGATTAGTGGAGACTGCCAGTTCAGGAGAGGCAAGGCACTGAAGGGATTTGAAACCGATGATAACTTTTTAATTTTGACGTTACATGACCAGGACCTCGTTTTGGTCAATGACAAGTGGTTGATGCATGATGGTACTAATTTACGAAAAGTGAAACAGCCTCAAACTTCACTAAATGGGCCGGACGATCACTGTTTAAGCCCTATCTGTCCATAGGTGTCATAAAATGTCTGAACAAGTTGGTGTAAAAGTGAAGTAGTGACTCCTATATGAAGGAATTCAGTTGCAACTAAGAAGCATAAAATAAAGTGTGAAGAATCTGCTTACCTAGGCTTTCCTTAAAGTCCATCTAGGACTAAGACGATCCAAAGATTGAAGAAATTTGAAAATAAGTAACAAGGAGGGACTGTTTTGGATGGCCTCGAATTTAGAGGATAGAATGAGGAGACCAACGAGCTAGAAAGGTGCACTGAAAATTTCAGCTAGTGACCTGATGGTATCCGATGTAATTTTATTGTTTGATGCAAATGTAATATTGAAACTACTTGGTGCAATAATTTATTTGTAGCTCAGCTGTGATAGCATTAAATTAGAAACTCCATGACAAACCAGTTGATTACAGTATGGTTGTTGACGTCGTCTTCACCTTTTGTGACGGCGTGATCGCATATGTATAAGCTAATACATATCCTGAATTAATCTTGTTACAGATGAGCAAGAGGATGAACCGTTGTCTGCAGGAGGGAAGGTAATTAACATTAAAGCTGCTTCTGCTCATCCAGTCACTGTCTAGAAATGGTAGCTATGGCAACTAATCTGTTGGGCTCCAGAGTTGTGTTTCTGTATCGCTTCATATTGACAGCAGTTGTGTGTTTGTGGTTACATGCTGTTGGAGGGAAAACAATAATCAAATTGTGAATATTGAGGGAAAAATGATTTGTTCAATTATATTTGGAGATATTCAATTCCTTCTCTCTTTCTGGACCTTCACACACTGGGCAAAAAATTATGTCTCCTGTTGAATGTGTAAAGCATAGTTAGGAATTTATTGCACAAGCACTTGGCTCTTGAATTGTAAATGAGAACATAGAGTTCACACCTCCTGTTTGTGAATTTTGATCACACCATGTCAGAGGCTGATTTGTTGTAATTTGGCTATGATAACATTTTGTGACATTACACCTTGTTTGGTTTCATTTCTCCTTGGAGTAATAGATTTCAGGTCGATAATTTTTTCAATTAGTTTGGCAAGTCATCACCCAGACTGTACTGTGAAACCATTATTCATCAACATATGTAAAAATTATCTCAGTATCACTGGCTAACTTTTCCATTCTGGGGGGAAAAAAAAAGAACTCCGGATGCTGTAAATCTGAAACAGGAACAGAAATTTCTGGAGAAACTCAGCAGATCTGGCAGCGTCTATGGAGAGAAAGCATAGAAAATGTTTTGGGTCCATTCTGCTTTCTTTCCACCGATGCTGCCAGACCTCCTGAATAGTCATCCTGGGCTGCTTTACTTTTTTTGTACATCTGGTTAATCAGATTAATGTCAATAACTTCAGGGGTCTGCTCTAGTCAGGCATGGTCTGAAGAATGTGCAGTCGAGTAAAGGTATGCATGTGCTGATGATTTCTTTCTAGGCTTTACCTGCTCTCATACCACCTGTGGGTTACTGATTTTGTATTGTTTTTTGCTCCAGGAATCCTAAACCTAGAAAAAGGTCAAACAAATTAAAAAGAGAAAAAATAGAAATATGGAAAGTTTGAGTCGCCATAAGATGCCTTTTAAAAAGTGTTTTTGGACATACTTGAATCTGTGGCTCAAAAACAATGATGAGGCTCATACTCAATCACGTTTTTTTGTGGTGCCAGTTGAGGGGAAAAGTTCAATAGGTAAACTCACACTTTACGTAATGGTATGAGATCTTAAATATCCTCTGAATAGGGTCTTTGCTAATTGTTGACAGCTTGGTCTGCAAATTGCTTCCTTGTTGTACGTAGTCTTCAGACCCAGAAATGAGAATGCTGTCAATGGATTGTGTTCAGTATGATTGGAATGAGATTAATACTTAGGAAATTTGGTAACCAAGAATACAATGATAATAAGTGAGTTGCCGTTGTTTTCTGCCTTGAAGAGTATAATTATACAACAGTCATCTGTGTCATTAAAATTGAGTAGGAATAAATGGGTCTTTCGAGCATTGGCAGGTTGTCACTAAGTACTGTGCGGATCAGTACTTGGGGCTGCAGCTGTCCACTATATTCTCCATGTTTTGGATCAAATGTAATGTTTCCAAATTGGCAAATGATCTAGAGTTAAGTGGGATGTTTTGGTGAATTAAATAAATAAAAGTGGGTATCACTAGCTAGACCAGCATTTATTGTCCATTCCAAATTGCCTAGAAAGCAGTCAAGGGTCTGGAGTCAGATTTAGGGAAGACCAGGTCTGTTCTTCCCTCAAGGGCATTAGTGAACCAGGTAGGTTTTTCCTGACAATCACCAATGATTTCATGGTCACCATTAATTCCAGATTATTATTGAATTCAAATTTCACCATCTGCTTCTGCCATGGCAAGATTTGAACCCAGATCCCCAGAGCTTAACTTGGGCCTCTGGATGAATAGTCTAGTGATAATACCACTAGGCCACCATCTCCTTGTTTGGTGAGGAACATGTGATGCATCTTCAGGAGGGTTTAAATAGACTTAGGCAAGAATATGGCAGATGGAATGTGTCATTTTGTGTGGAAGAACAGATGTGCCAAATATTTCTTAAATGGTGAGAGATTGGAAAGTATAGATCTACAAAGAAGCGTAGCTTGTCAATGCTGCACATTGCTAACTAGATGTGCAGCAAATGATGAGCATGGCTAATAGAATGATAACCTCTGCAAGAAGGTTTGAGTATGGGAGTAGTCAAGGAGTAGTCTTTACACAGTGGTGGGCGCGTGGAATGCGCTGCCAGCAGTGGTAGTGGAATTAGATACATTAGAGACATTTAAGCGACTCTTGGATAGGCACATGGATGATAGTATAATGTAGGGTATGCAGGGTAGTTTGATCTTCGTAGGAAATAGGTCGGCCCAAATCTTGGGCCGAATGGCCTGTACTGTGCTGTACAGTCTTCCTTTAATCGTATAGGAGCTTGGTTAAACTGTACCTGGAGTATTGTGTGCAGTTTAGGCCCCTGGGAAAGATGATATTGCCATTCAGGTAATGCAACAAGGGTTCAGCAAATTTATTTCCAGAATGGCAGTACTGTTCTACGAGGAGTAGAATTTGGAAGAATGAGAGGTGATTTCCTTGAAATGCACAAAATACTTAAATGGATAAAAAATGTAGATGCAAGTAAGATGTTTCACCTGTTAAGGAGTCTAGAACCAGCGGACCCAATTTAAAAATGAAGGAGCTGCCGCTGAGATCTGAAATGGAGTATTTTTGTATACTCCAGAAGACTGCGAATGTTTGAAGTTCTTTACGGAATCTGTCTTTAGCATTTTTAAGATAGAGTTGGAGAGAGATCTGATTACAAATGGCACGTGGTGTTATTGGGATAGGGTGGGTAAAAGGATTGAAATATTCAATTAGCCATGAATCTGTTGAACGGAAGGATGAATGGGCTATGCCCCGTTTCTATGAATTGGTGGCGGGGGTGGGGGGAGGCGGGGAATTGAAGCCTGTATTTTACTTTTTTTTTTTGGTAGAGCTGTATGTTTTGGGAAACAGATGAAAACTACTTAGAGCTGTTATGGATATTGCTAAAGCTGTGGACCCTGACAACATTCTGACAATGGTACTGAAGTCTTGTACTGCAACGCTTGCTGCACCTCTAGTCAAGCTGTTCCAATACATCTGAAACATTGGCATCTATCAACAATTACTGGCCTGTTGGTCTATGTTCCATCATCAGTGGAGTGATGGGAGGAGTCATCAACAGTGCTAACCAGCAGCACCTGCTTAACAATAACCTGCTGCCTGATGCTCTGTTTGAGTTCTGCTTGGGTCACACAGGTCTTCACATCATGCTTGAGCTAAGGCTGCAAGTGGACATTGAGGCCATATTTGTACATTGTAGTCAGAGAATGGAGTCTGTGTTGAAGGCCAAGATAACTTTTCTCACTCCTGGTGTATTAGCTGTTGTTTGTAGATTTAGAGTACTTTGTTTGTGCAGATCGATGGGCTGAATGGCCTCTGATTTGATGAAGCTCGTGGGCTTGTTCTAGACCAGTCCGTAATCTATTGCTGGAGGTTTGTGGTGTGAACTTGGCATCAAACATGACTGACCTGGAAACTCTTCCACTATTGCCCCCTGCCGTTGTTGTATTGTAAGGATTTACAGGATAGACAGGCTATCTGGCCAAGTCATGAAATAAAGAAAACCTGAAATTAAAAGTCTAGTGGTGGCTCTGAAGCAATTGTTGATTGTCTGAAGGACCCATCTCATTCACTGAAGTTATTTTGGAGAACGAGGCTGGCATCCTTATCTGGTCTGTGCCTTCATTGGTTAGGCTACAGATGGAATACGGTTTTGGTCGCCACACTAATTGAAGGACATAATTGCGCTGGAGAGGGGTTTTTTAAAAAAGTTCATAGGATGTGGGAATCTCTGCCAAAAGCCAGCATTTGTTACCCATGGCTAATTGCCCAGAGGGCAGTTAACTGTCAACTACACATTGCTGTGGGTCTGGAGTCACATGTAGACCAGACAGTGGGGGCAGGGTTTCCTTCCCTGGGGCATTAATGAACCAGAGGGTTTTTTTCCTGACAATTGACAATGTTTTCATAGACATCATTTCAGATGTTTATTGAATTCCGATTCCACATTTTCCATTGCAGGATTTGACCCCAGGTCTCCAGAACAATGCCAGGATCTCTGGACTAATAGTCTCGCGATGATAGCATTAGGCCATCATCTCCCCAAAGGAGATTCACCTTCATGTTGCCTGAGATGAAATATTTCCATTATGAAGGCAAACAGGCTAGGCTGGATTTGTTTTCCTTGGAGCTAAAGGGGAATCTGATTGATGCAAAATTAAGAAGTATATTCAGAAGATTGTGGGAATCTGTGCCCCAAGGCAGATGTGTCTGAGATCAGAGAGCATGAATTTAAGGTGAGGAACAAGTGGTTTAGAGAAGATATGAGGAGATTTTTTTCACCCAGAGGGTGAAGAGGTTGGAAGCATTCTGCAAGAGTGGGTGGTGGAGGCACATACGCTCACAGCATTTAAGAAGCATCTACATGAGTACTTAAAACGCTAGGGCATAGTAGGCTATGGGCCAAGTGCAGGTGAAAGGGATTAGTGTAGTTTGGTCTTTCGTCGGCATAGACATGGTATGTCGAAGGGCCTGTCTCTGTGCTGTATGACTCTATATCCTGGTGTGGCATCAAGAAGTTGAGCAAAGCTGCAGTAACCAGGAATTGGGAAAGGTCTGCTGTTTGCAGTCATATCCTGCACAAAGGAAGATGGTTGATATTGGAGTTGAGTCATCTCAGCTCTAGGACATCTCTGCTAGAGTTCCTCAGGGTAGTGACCTAGGCCCAGCCATCATCAACTGCTTCATCAATAACATTTTAAGCTCAGAAGTGATGATGTTCGATGTTATGATTCCAACAGATGTTATTTCTGGAGAAGTCAGATGTCACACTGAAATCTGGCTTGATAGGTCATGTTTTGTTTCAGTTTTTAACCTGGAAGTCTGTCGCTGAAACGTAAGCATGCAATTTTGTAGATTTGTTTTTCACAACAGAACAGAATTTTACTAAACAAAAGGAATAAAATTAGGTAAACCAGACAATTTTCTTAGAAAATAAACTTCACCACACTGTGAAATATAATCCCGTTAGTCTCAAAAAACTTGTATATGGTACCTCAAATCACTTCTTGAACACTAGACACAGCAGTGCTTCTTTTGATCACTATGGTGAGAGCTTTGGAGTGCCCCCTTTATCATCTACTTATGGTAAAATCTTTGTCACCAAGCCACTGAAGATCAAGAGTTAATGTGGTGATTAACAACCATCTGTCCATTCTGAGTTTTGTAGACATTATAACAAGTTGCAAATGCTTACAATTCTGTAGAGCTTTCAATGTAAACTGAGTCAACAACTGAATGCTTGTTATTTTTGTGATTTTAAAATATTTTATTTTCCTTTTGTGAAGTGTTAAATGGAAATCTCTCAATTTAAAGTGGTCACTTAAGTTAATTCAAATGCCACGATATCTAGACCCAAAGCTGTTCTGCCTGTCTGACAAAATATTCTCGATTGTAATTCATCAACTGAAATTGATGAACTGAGGAAGGCTCACTTAAGCTGAAACATTAACTCTGATTTCTCTCCACAGATGCTGCCAGACCTGCTGAGTTTTTCTAGCAATTTCTGTTTCTGATTTACAGTATCCGCAGTTCTTCTGTTTTTTATCCTGTAATTCATCAAGTGTTATGCATGTCATTTGATTTCCAGTGATTTAACTGAGAGCCAAGTGATTTGTGAATTATTCCAGGAAGAAGAGGATGGTTCCAATGCTAAAGGTGATCACATACGTCCTGCGGACCAAGCAGAAGATAACGTTACTGAACAGACACATCATATCATTATCCCTAGCTACTCTGCATGGTTTGACTATAACAGGTCAGAGAAAGTTTCTTTTATTACCCTTTAAGTCAGTCAGTGAAATTTAGAAAAGCATAAATTGTTTTGAATGTTTTGCTAATGAATTTCTCTTTGGTATATCTCAGTGCTGTCACTCGCTTTTTCCTATTGTGGTATGAACAAGCATACTGGACAGAAACCTCACTGTGAGGATGTCTAGCCTTTCCTTTCTCTGTGACTCTTTTTTGGCTTTGAGAACTATTTCAAAGTTGTGCTTTTAACTTGTTGGTTCTCTTCGATTTTTATTCAAAGGCTGAATTTTTCTGTGAATTCAGACACCTCTTCAGTAGCTGTTCTTTTTCAATAATTGAACGTAGACAGTGGTAGGTGATACTTTTCTTTCTTGGATCCAATTTTCTCTCAGAATTGCCATCAGCACTGACTCTCTCCCAACCCTAAAGATTCTGGGATCAGTTGAGAAACCCAGTCGTTGGTTGAAGTTGAAGTAATTCAACTGATTAAACCCCAGGCATTCATAATGTTCGATGTTTGTTTGCCAATCTGGCAGTGAAGGTTGACTTGTTGTGCATCAGTGGTATAATCTATTAGGGCTTGAGTGCTACCAGCTATCAGTTCAGGCTACAGTTTGGTTCTGTGATCTCTTGCACAATGATCTTCCATACTTTGTTCTGGTAGTGCTAGAAACTTTGCTTTATAGCATGAGATCTTTCTGCCCTTATGTATAAAGCCAAGCAGTATTTTTCAGGGGCTTTGGAGCAAGTTATGTCACTTAAAGGGGAATATAATGACCAGGAAAGATTAAGGTAAGGAAACTTGAAATTGTAGTGGTCTAACTGGTGAAATGTTAGATTTTAAATTCAAGTTGTCTTGTTGGGGCTACATTCAAGAATTAATTGTTTTACTGTGGATCTAGTTTGGGAGTTGATATGAACCCTGAAAGTACAATGGTCTTTGACTGCTTTTCTCCAGGTAATTAGCAGAACCAAGGGAGGCCCATTAATTGTCTCAAAAATAATATCTTTAAATAATTGGATGTTCATGACTGCAGGAAAAGTCAACTGGGTAGACAGGCTGATTAACAAGCTTGCCCTCATTGCTCAGACCATTAAATATAGGAGTTGTACAGGATGTTTGAGAGGCCATTTTGGAGTACAATGTACAGTTCTGGTCGCCGTGCAATAAGAAGGATATCATTAAACTGGAGAAGGTTCAGAAAAGATTTAACAGGATGTTGCCGGGAATGGAGGGTTTGAGCTGTAAGAAGAGGCTGGCAGGCTACGACTCGTTTCACTGAAGTGCGGGAGGTTGAGGGGTGGCCTTATAGACGTTTATGCAATTACGAGGGGCATAGATAAGGTGAAAAGATCGTTTTCCTTGGGTGAGCGAATTGTGAACCAGGGCGGATATTTTTAAGCCGAGAGAAGGAAGATTTTAAAAAGGACTTGAGAGACAACTTTTTGATACACCGGTTTGTATGTGGAATGAACTGCCAGAGGAAGTGGTAGATGCAGGTACAGTTACAACATTCAAAAGACATTTGGATAGGTACATGAATAGGAAAGGTTTAGAAGGGTACGGTTCAAATGCAGGCCAGTGGGACTTGGTAAGGCATGTATGAGTTTGACCAGAGGGTCTGTTTTGGTGCTGTATGACTCTGATTGTGTTTTGGAGCTGGTTGTTATCCTTGTTCTTCTTAATCCTCATTAATGGCTGAGACCTCAACTTCTGAGTTTGCAGGTGATATGAAATGTGGAAGCATTGCAACCTGTGAGTAGGATAGTGCAGAACTTGAAAAGGATATAGACAAGTTGGTGGAACGAATGGACAAGTGACATATTTAATATGGAGAAATGTGAGGTGATTTATTTAGGAAGAGCATAGGTGATATGAAATGAAGGATGTGATACAGGAACATGGTATTTATGTATACAAGCCAATGAAGATGGCAGATCATGTTAAGGGAGCAATTAATGAAGCAAACCATACCCTGACTTTTATTAGTAAAGGCATATAATACAAGAGCATGGAGATTATGTTAAACTTTTATAATTCTTTTGTTCAGCCTCAGTTGATTATGGAGTCCAGAAAGATGTTAAGGCTTTAAGTAAGTGCAGAAAAGATTGGCAGAAATGGGAGCTTGTCATGAAGATATATTGAATTTCTTTAGAGAAAAGATGCTTGAGGAAATTGGTTAGAGATGCTCAAAATTTAAAAAGTATTGATAGTTCCTGCTCATCTACTCAGTGTTGCCACAAAGGATCAAGGGCAGGAAGGCATAGATTTTTATTAATGGGGGGAGAGAAAGCAAAAACAATGACAACTTTTTCATGTTTGGAATTCTTTGTTTGAATGTTGTGGAGGTGCATTCAAAGTGGATTTGGACTGGTCCTCAGTGCGTGTGCGGAACTTGAGGAGGAAAGCTAATCAGGCAGGAAATCGAGAACTTAAACGCAGGACAGCTGTTTGAGGCTACATCCATATCTGACATGTCTTTTAAAGGCCAGGTAGTCAGAATTCAGGACCGACGTTCCTGAAAGATAAGGATGGCAAGGTTCAGAATCCTGGATGGCAAGAGATATTGAAAGTTGAGTGCAAGAAGGAAAGCATGTGTAAGGTTTAGGAAACAGAAATCAGGAAAGGCCCTTGAACAATAAAAGAAAGCAGAAAAGAACTTAAACAAGGAATTAGGAGGACTAAAAGGGGTGACGAAATATTCTTGGCAGATGGCTTAAGGAGAATTCCAAGGCATTGTATACGTATATTAGGAGCAAGAGGGTAGCCAGGAAAAGTGTAGGTCCATTCGAGGAGAAAGAATTTGTGCATGGAGCCAGGGGAAGGGTGTGATGTCCTTAATGAGTACTTTGCATCAGCATTCAGCAAGGTGAAAGACATGGATGATGGTAAGATTAGAGAGGGGTTTGTTGACTGAGGCTTCTTGATATCAAGTAGAACAGGTTGGGTGTCTTGAAAAGCTTTAAGGTAGACAAGTCCCCAGGGCCTGATGGGTCCTTGGATACTGAGAGTGTCAGGGGAGGAGATTGCAGAGACCTTGACTGAAATCTTTGTATCCTGTTTAGCCACAGGCGGGGTCCCAGAAGACTGGAAAATTGCCAATGTTATTCCTTTGTTTAAGAAGGGCAACAGGGATAATCCTCAAAATTATAGGCTAGCGAGCCTTATGTCAAATGGCCAGGATTTACTCTCATTTGGAAAACTTTATTGTGTAGGTGAGGTCATTTGTCACAAATTTGATTAAATTTTTCGAGGAAATGATGAAGATGATTGAGGGTAGGCCATTGGGTGTTGTCTACATGATTTCAGTCAAGCATTTGATCAGGTTCCTCATGTTGGCTAGTGTAGAACACTTAAGTGATGTGGGATCCACAGTGAGTTGGTAAGTTGGGTACAAAACTGGCTCGTTACAGAAAACAGGATGGGCGTGGTGGGGTGTTTTTCTGAGTGGAGATCTGTGATTATTGGTGTTCTGCAAGAATATATAATATAAATGATTTGAATGAAAATGTAGGTAGTCAGATTAGTAAGTTTGCAGACAACATGAAAATCGGTGGAGTTGTGGATAACGAGGAAGGATATCAAAGGATACAGCATGTCATAGGTCAGTTGGTAAGTTAGGTGGAGAAGTGGCAGATGGAGTTTTTAAAATTAATTCACAAGATATGGGCATCTAGGCCAGCACTTATTGCCCATCCCTAATTACCCAAAAGGCAGTTAAGCGTTAGCTACATTACTGTGTGTCTGGAGTCACATATAGGCCAGACCAAGTAAGGATGGCAGATTTCCTTACCTGAAGGAAACTGGTGAACCAGATGCGTTTTTCTGGCCATCAACACCAGTTTCATTATAAGACTCTTAATTCTGGATTTTTAATTGAATCCACATTCCACCATCTGCTATGGTGAAATTAGAACCTGGGTCATCAGATCATTACTGGGTCCCTGGATTAACACTCGGACTATAATATTTCTAGGCCATTACCTCCTGGACAAGTCTGAAGTGATGCATTTTGGGAGATCAAAGACAAAAGGGAAGTAAAGTAAATATTAAATGGAAGGTCACTGAGCATTAACACTGAAGGATTTTAGGGCACTAGTGCATAGCGCCGTGAAAGTGGCAGTGCAGTTGGATAAGTGATATATGGCATGCTTGCGTTGATTAGCCAGGCATTGAGCATGAAAGTTCGCAAGTTATGTTGCAGCTAGGCCATGTTTGAAATACTGTGTTGTGGAGATTTTGGAGAGGGTGCAAAGAGGTTTATCAGGATATTTCCTGGATTGGAGCATTTAGATTTAAGTCGTGGTTGGACAAACTTGAATTGTTTTTGCTGGAGCATCAGAAGCTGGGGAGTGGACAACCTGATAGAAGCATATAAAATTGAGAGGCATGGATGGGGTGGCTAGTCAGAGTCTTTTTCCTCGGATGGAAATGTCAAATACTAGGGGACATAGGTTTAAAGTGAAGTTGATGGGGGGGAGCGGGTCAGGGAAGGTGGAGACGGTAGTTTAAAGGAGATGTGCAAGGCATGTTTGTTGTGTAGAGGATGGCAGATGTCTGGATCATGGTGCTAGGGGAGGTGGTAGAAGCCCATACGACAGCAACATTTAAGAGGCATTTAGACAGACAGACAAATGGACAGACAGAGATTAGCAGATGGGATTAGATTAGAATTGCCTCATGGTCAACTCGGGCATGGTGGGTGAGGCCAAAGGGCCTGTTCCTGTGCTGTACTGTTCTATGTTATCTGAAAAGGAAGCTAATGCAAGGAACGTTGGGACATTACAGGCGAAAGCGCAGAAGGCGTCATTTGGAGTGCTATTGCAGACCTGTTTAGCTGCCTCCTGTGCTGCAACAATCTGTGAATCTCTGTTGATTTTCTGAAATATCGTAGATTTGCTCTCCTGACGTGCCTTTACAATCTTGCAACCCTCATCTGTGAAGAAGAGTGTCTGCCTTGGAACTTGAGGATACCACAATCTTGAATATATTCAAGAAGGAAGTTGTATCTGAATGGAATAACTTCTGAGTGGTATGCCTGCTGTCCACCGCAGAGAAAATCATGGCACGGATCGTCAGTCATCTCCACTCAAAGTTGGAAGTGTTTCCTTTATTTATCAAGCACAGACATGATCTTCACAGTGTTACATCCAAGAAATTGGCAAGAAACAGCACCAGTTAGTGGATATTTTTCTTTCTTCAGGAAAGCTTTTGATTTTGTCAGCTGTGAAGATTTGTGCAGCATGGTACTACCATCGAACTTGTCACATTGCCTTGTCTATTCTCCAATGACATCAAAGCCATGACCCTCACCAGTGAAACCACTACAGCATACAACAGATGAAGACTGCAGTCAAATAAGGTTACTATATCACAAACCATCACCTCTATTAACCTCACTCTAAAATACAAGCAAATTCCACACAGACATGGAGGTATTTTCCAGAACTGACAGGCAACTGTTCAATTTATAATGCTTTCAATTCAAAGCACTCCAACCACAATAATGTAGATGACACTTGTGTGCGCTTACAGACTCAAACTGAGATCCAGATCATTGTCGATTCCATTGAAAAATGAGGAAATGGGCTTTCACCAAACACCTGGGACATTAATGACCTTCTCCAATGAGCTCCCACATCATTGTATGATATGCAGCGAGATCTGGAAACTATGGATGACTTTCTGTATTTTGGGAGCCTCCTTTCGATAAATGCAGGCGTAGGTGATGAAATTGATCATGGCTCCAATTTGTTGGGTAAAGCCTTCACCTGCCAGTGGGAGCGAACATTTAACAATGTACAAGTCAAACCTGAAACTCGGGGAGGTGATGGCCTACTGGTATTATCACTGAACTATTAATCCGGCGATCCAGATAGTGTCCTGGGGACCTGGGTTCAAATCCCACCATGGCAGATGGTGGAATTTGAATTCAATAAAATATCTGGAATTTAGAATGTAATAATGACTGTGAATCCATTGTCAATTGTCGGAAAAACCCATCTGGTTCACTAATGTCCTTTAGGGAAGGAAACTGTCATCATGACCTGGTCTGGCTTACGTGTGACACCAGACCCACAGCAATGTGGTTGACTCTTAACTGCCCTCTGGGTAACTAGGGATGGGCAATAAATGCTGCCTGGCCAGCAACGCCCTCATCCTGTGAATGAATTTGAAAAAAGCCTCTTTCTTTTTTGCTTTTTCCTTTTTATCCAGTTTTGAACGTTCCCAGAGATCTGGGGTTCTCTGGGCTTGTTGTTGCTTCATTTCAGCCAAAGGGAAACATGTTGGGCCTTTACTCTAGCCAATTTAGTTTTGAATTGTTGTAGATCATCCCACAAGGAGCTTTTTACAATTCATTTTTATTTAGATTCTGCCTTACTTTAACAAAAAATCTGCCTTCCCCTAACCCAAAATTCTTTGCAAACCATCTTTCTGATTCCATAACAAACTTAAATTGTACTGTGTTGGTCGCTGTTACTAAAGGCTCCCCCACTGCCACTCGAACACCTGCCTGGCTTTGTTTCAGAATTAGGTCCAGCACATGTACCTTCTTGGACCTTCTATGTATTGATGTAAGAAGCTTTCCTGAGCACGTTTTCAGGAAATCTATCCCTCAAAACCCTTTACTCTCAATCCTAATTTTGCTTTTTTTTCCTATTCACAAGATAGCTAGGCCAGCATTTATTGCCCAGAGGGCAGCTAAAGGTCAACCACATTGCTGTGGGTCTGGAGTCGCATGTAAGCCAGACAGGAGCAAGGATGGTGGTTTCTGTCGCTAAAGGACATTGGTTTTTTTTTTGACAATTGACAATGGATTAATGATTTTTTTTTTAGACTCTTTTAATTCCAGATTTTTATTGAACTTAAATTCTACCATCAGCCATGATGGGATTTGAACCAAGAATGGTCTCCAAAACTTTACTTGGGTCTTTTGGATTGACAGTTCAGTGATAATACCACTAGGCCATTGCCTCCCCACAATTGATGTTGGGGAAATTGAAATCCTCTGATGTAAATTACCTTATAGTTATTTTCACACACCTCAGTGAGTTATCTATATATCTGCTCCTTTACTGTTTGCTGACTGTTTGGTGGCCTGTAATACACTTCCAGCAGTGTGACTGTCCCATTTTTATACGCAAGCTCTAGTCACAAAGCCTCTTTTGAAGATCCTTCCAAGATACCGTCCCTCCTTACTGCTGTAACTGCCTCCTTAATCAATAATGTAACATCATCTCTTTTACATCCTCCCCTATCTCCCCTGAAGATCCTATATTCAAGAATGTTGAATTGCCAGCCCTGTACCTCTCTCAACCGTATCTCTGATGGTTACAATCACAATTCCACATGTCAATCCACAACCTTAACTCCTCTAACTTTTCTATAATACTCCTCACATTAGACGCCATTCAGCCTCTGCTTGTTCCCTTGTATCACAACACGACTGAACTCTCTCTCTGTCCTGGTTCCTTCACTATATTTATGCTGTGTCCCTCTTGTTCTACTGTCACATAATGACTGGAAATTCTTGCGAGGATAATGGAAAAGCTGTACCGAGATCCTCCAGGCATCCCTGAAATGATTCAACATCCCTGCTAATTCCTGACTTATGACTTATTTGGGAAAGCACTGAACACAGTGACTTCAGGAGCACATGGAAGCAAAACTGAGGCATCTAAGAGTGTGCAGAAACCTCTAAAGACTTCACTTGTCTGACATTGTCAAAACGCCATCTTCATCCCCTAACCTCTGTGGATTATATATTGACCTTGTCAGACATCACAGAACCCTCCAACTGAGAAGAAGCATGTCATCCTTGATCCTAAAGGATTGTCAAAGAATAGGTTATTTTGAAGTTGCAAGCTTCAATGATTGTTGTTTTGTGAACAGGTCCCTCGACAGAATAACTAGTGTGCACCAGCTATGTTGTTTGGATGATGTCATTGACACTCAGTGGTGGGACAGATTTTTGAGAAATCCAAGACTGTTAAAAGCAATTTATGAATAAACCTGTGGCACTGTTGTGTTGACTTGAAGTTTCCTGGACAGTTTAGAAGTTCAAATGTATGTATTTTTTGATCATCCCATGTTGCTGCAAATCACGGGATTGTTTCCAGTCTTGATGTTGTATCCAAACATTATCTGAGTCTGATGCAATTTGTTTTAAATTTTTAATGCTGGTCTAAGAATTTGCCTCCATTGTTTATACTGTCCTTCAGTGTTTACGTAGTTTCCACCCCCCCACCCCACCCACCAACCTTGCATACCAAGAAGGTTCTTTTTTTTTAATTAAGGTCCTCTCCATCCTTTTCTGAGTCACACCAGATTATGATCTGATTGCTGGGTAGTTGAAATTAAGATCTTAGCTGTCCAACTGCATTCTTCCTTGACCCAGTTTTTCACAGTCAGGCTGTGAATGGGAATTTGCTGTGTGGGATCATGGTGGAGTCTCGAGCAATGTGTTGATGAGCATGTTGGCTGACAAGATTTCATAATTTTTTATTTTGTTTCTTAAATTTACAAGATTTTCTAAAAATGAGGATTGAGGGGCTTTTGAAGGATTGTAAACGTTCTTGATATATCACTTAAAGATTCAAGTAAAAAGGATGCTTTCAAACATTAACAGTCACTTTTTTCGTCACAGACAGCTTCTGAATGTTAACACAGTACTTTGTTTCCTTGGTATTTTATCTTGTTCCTAGGATTTTGCATCCGTTTTGTCAACAGGGTGTGGAGTTATTTCATTCATTTCTTGCATTTAGAAATAGAATTTACTTAATTGAGTTAATTATTTGCATTTCCCTGTCTTCTAGTATACATGAGATTGAGCGTCGTGCCTTGCCGGAATTCTTCAATGGGAAAAATAAGTCGAAAAGTCCAGAAATGTAAGTGTGCCTAATAAATTTAAATTAATGTTCATACAGAGAAATAAGCCTGAAAAGCTATTTTGGAGTTTTGACTATAATTTTTAATTTGAATATAATTGGTACTTGGTGTTTCAAGTTTCCCACTTTACTGAGTAGGATATTGTTTGCTACCACAAGCTTTATCTAGTGGGCTCATTTAGATAAAGCTGATTGTGCATTCAGTTACATGAACTTGTGTACTGACTCCTGCTAGTATTGTTACATGATGAGTTTGTCTAATAGCTGTTTTCATTTCCATTTATTTGAATCCAGATTCATTGCAGTTTTGGGATTGTGATTGTTATTGCCGTTCTTTTTAAGGTTTTGTTATAAATTCCCGTTATATTCTCTCGGAAGTATTGTAGGATGGAATTCTGTTTTTACCAGTGCTATTCCTCACTAATTGTTCAAGGTATGCAGCAACAGCTTAGTGCTGATGTAGTTAGCAACAGACTGACCTTTTTCATGACTGGCTGGCATTGGTTGTGTGTGCATCTGCATGCTTTGGTATTTTGCAGACATCAGGTTTCATTGAGTGACATAATTTTGCAAAATGCTGTGATGCCAGGGACAACAACATACTAACGTTTTGCTGTTGTTGAGCGCCAGAGTCCCATTCTCCTGAACTAGAATTGCAGATAAGGACACACTTACTGGATCCACTAATAAATAAGTATTTATTAATAAAGGATATAAATAAGATTCAGTAACATGGACTTGAGGATACTACACGATGAGATAGAGTTGATCTGGCTGTTGCTACAGTATGTCCTCATTGAGTACCGGGTCAAGGTCTGTCTTGCACAGTGGTTCTTGGTGCAAATTATCCGCTGTTCTGAGTCCCTTAATCAGTGTTGTCCTTTGTATAAGAACTGCTCCTAGGCTGTCATTGTCTTCTGAGTCCTTGCAGGTTATTACACTCAAATGTCGCCTTAGGTTACTGAGACTACTGTCCTCTTGGGTCAACAAGCCTATACGGGGTTATAGTGATGCTTAATTTTTTTTATTGAACCTATTTTTCTAAACAGCCTACTGGGAGATGTTATTACACATCTCTGGAGCAGGTGGGACTTAAATCCAGGCCTCCTGCCTCAGAGGTAGGGACATTGCCACTGTGCCACAAGTGTGTCTGTATTGATTCTTACCGTTACTCATTTGTTCAGGAACAGTTGTAGCAATTCCATGTTAAATATGTTCTTATCACAAGGCTGTTCAGTAGGTTATCTCACTAAACCATAATCACATTTCTTCCTCCGGTCTTAGGCTGGTATGAGGCTTATTTTCTCAAGATGTTTTAAGATTTTAGCAGTTAGACAAATGATTGTGCTATCTTTTCAATTATGTTTCCCAGCACATGATACTAAATGGTAACATTACCTGCTTAAGTCTAAGCCCATCATGCTGAATACATCATTCTGTGTCTCCTCTTTTCCACAAGATTTTTAAAAAGGGGAAACCGTCAGCTATGGACATTTTTTTTTAAGTCTAAAATGCTTTAAATATTAAGTAGGTCCTGTACAGGGGGACAGTCCTAGTCTGTGGATTTGTCTTTTTAATTATACCATTTCATCTCATTATTGTGTAAAGCAGGAAGATTCAATTCTTTTTGAAGTGAATTTTGTTTGCAAATAACCATATTAGATAAATATTACACCAGATGACATGTAACACTCATGGTAAATAAAATTACGAAGTTGTCTAGAGTAATCATGAATTGGAAGGCCGGAAGCTAGAGTTTGTTTGTTGTTTTAAAAAAAGGGAGAAAAGTGCGTAGTTCCTTTTGAGGTAAAATGTTTTTCTAAGCTTTGAGTATAATACAGAGAAAAAAAATTGTATCTGTATGTAGCTGAAGATGTACAGCAAATTCTGAAATGGAAACATGTATCAATTGGCTGTGTGATTGGAAAGCTTAGGATTGTTTTGATGTTTTGACAACAATGTGGAATCAGCCAATTAATTTAAGCCAAGCATTTAGCGATTGAAAGCCAATTGAATTTAAATCTGATGGTTTTGACAACCTCTGACCAATGCTATTGTAAGAAAATGGATATGTCATCCAATGTATATAAGGAGAGGGTTTTTGACAATCAGTGTGAAAGTGAACTACCATCTGAAAAATAAACATCTAGCTCTCACAATAAATCGCCATGTTCTCTAAGAAAGCACCATATAAGGTACCATGGCACTTCTAGCTAAGAGTCCTCACAGAAGACTTGACAGAGAAAACATCCTTGACAGCTGGATCAGTAGAAGAAAGGCATGTAGACTTTGAGAGACTAAGTTCTAATTTATAGCGCAGCACAGTGGCTCAGTGGTTAGTACTACTGCCTCACAGCGCCAGGAACCTGGATTTGATTCCAGCTTCGGGCCACTGTCTGTGTGGAGTTTGCACATTCTCCCTGTGGCTGTGTGGGTTTCCTCCAGCTGCTCCAGTTTCCTCCCACACCCCAAAGATGTGCAGGATAGGTGGATTGGCCGTACTAAATTGCCCATGGTGCCCAGGGACATTTAGGTTAGGTGTGTTAGACATGGGAAATGCAGGGTTAGGGGAATGGGTCTGGGTGGGAAGCTCTTCAGAGGAGCGGTTGAACCTGTTGGGCCGAATGGTCTGTTTCCGCACTGTAGGGATTCTATGCTTTTCTATGCTATTTTCTTATTACATGAGCTAATATAAGTAGGACTCGTGTTTATTGGAACAGCATACCAGTAGAATTTTGTTCAGTCAGGGAATAGTTAGTATTTAAGGGGGAGTTGTTCAATTTGTAAGTAATTTTATTAATTTGCTTACTGTTAGGATTAAATAAATAAATTGTTACTTATAAAGTGAATATCAGGGATTATCTTTCATTTTCACCTGTTGTTCTCCGTAACATGAGTAAATATTTAATTTTGTTTTGGTTTTCAAAATTTTCGCTTTTACCTTTTCTGGGTAAAAGCAGTTTCAACATGACTTATGGTTGATTGAAGTTGACTTTTGCCATTTGACCAAAACATTTTGAGTTTTCCAAAATAAAACAGTTTTTGTATATGCTGGTCAGGAAAATAAGGAAAGAATAAAAGATTGCTTGAAAAATAAATGAAATAAGAGCAGCATGCCACCAAATGGCTGTTAGAACCTCATACAGTTGTACAGCACGGATCTATGATTCAGTATGATCATTGTTGATCATGGACTTCAATGCCAATTTCCTGCTTGCTCTCCAGATCCCCGGATTCCCTGAAACCAGAGGTTTATCTGACTTTGGCTCAAGTTGCTCAGCATCATGAGAGATCACACTAATTCCAGTGCACAATCTAATGAGCCTTTGCTGTGCCACCTCCCATGCAACTATGTCTTGCCTCAAATATGGAGGTCACAACAACACAGACACTCCGGATGTGGCCTCATCAAAGCCCTATATTATTGGAGCAAGCCTGCTTGATTCTTGTAAAAAAGCAAAATATTGTGGATACAGGAAATCTGAAACAAACACCGATAATGCTGGCAGTTTTTTGAATTCGGCACGTGATTCCAGTCATTTAGTTTGTCTCCAGCGTCACCTTTATTTTTAATTTTTTGCAATTATCTCTCAACCTCACTTATAGGTCATCCCTTTGGTTATTCAGCTGTTGACATTTTACTCCCTGTCTAACACTCTTGGTCACCTGCAGAGACTTATCATCTGACACTCCACTCACACCAGTTGTATGATCTTTTGATATCTCGGCCTAAAAACTCTAGGTCTGTGTGCTCAGCTCTTTCATTGCACCTGATGAAGGGACTGCGCTCCGAAAGCTTGTGTGATTTCAAATAAACCTGGTGGACTATAACCTGGTGTTGTGTGACTTCTGACTTTGTCTTTGTCTCTGTCTCTGTCCTGCTCAAAGCTTACCTAGTTTAGTACATCAAAAGCTCTGGATACATACTCTCTATCACTTCATAATAAGACACTAGTATCAGCTACAAATAGCGGAGGTCCCAGTTCTGATCCTTGTGGACAATCTAAGGAAATTCACAATTTAAAAAAAATGAAAGAACTGCAGATGCTGTAAATCTGTAAAAAACAGAGTTAACGTTTCGGGTCCGGTGACCCTTCCTCAGGAAAGGTTGAGAGGGGTCACCAGACCTGAAACGTTAACTCTGTTTTTGCCTTCACAGATGCTGCCAGACCTGCTGAGCTTTTCCAGCAACTTTGTTTTTGTTCCTGTGTAAGAAAAATCACAAATGGGTTAAATAGCACTATCTTTTTTTCTGTGCTGTTAATGGATGTGCTCCTTTTCAGATACAAACAGGAATGTCGTTAACTTGCTGCAATTACTGCTGTTAACATGTTTTGCCAAAATACCAAGCTGCTGACGTGACTTTGAACCCAATTGGTAGGATCACTGGCATGTCTGGGAGCAGGTGGTGGCAATATTTCATTATGTACCCTGTTTTCTTGGATTTTTGTTCTGACTTCAAAACCAACTTGAGATGACTTGAATACTCATCTTCTTTATATACTAGGAAGTTTCAAGATTCATTTGAAGTATTATCTCTTGTGAGTATCAACAGTCCACCCTCCGAAGGTGGTTGCAGTCAATTAAATGGTTGTAAAATAAATCTGGTGAAAAGTTGTTCTTCCAGCCAATAGCTCCACATGGTGTCACTGTTTGGTTACATGGCAAATGCTGACAGCATCCTGGTTGTTAATACTCTAAGCATAAAGTTATTTGCATTAAAGGTAATGGTGAGCCCTGTATAAAATTGCATGACTTGTAAATGAAGCACAAAAAAACAAATTTCTAGGCTATAATCAAATTCCAATTTGTTAACAAGGCTTGTTTTTTAAATGTACCTCAAGAATGATAAAAGAGCTCAAATCTTAAATGGGTTGTGAATTCTTTGTCCCTACTTGGATATGACATGTTAAATGTGTTCTCCTTCGGTCAACTGAGCATCCCAAGTGGAACGTACATAATCTGGTGAGGGAACAAACTCCATCCACACCTTGTGAGATTTTATATTGCTATCTCATGGTGATTAAGATCTGTCACTTCTGAAGAAAGTCAATTTTTTAAAACATATATTTCATACCAACAGTTATCTGGCATACCGAAACTTTATGATCGACACGTATCGGTTAAATCCTCAGGAGTATCTTACCAGTACATCGTGTCGCAGAAATTTAACTGGTGATGTTTGTGCTGTAATGAGGTAAGAAAGTACTTTTTGTGCTGGAGAGTAGAGGTTTCCCCTTGAAAACCTCCACTAGTCAACAATTGAAGGAGATGTTTATTTGACGATTTGCGTACTGCTCTTGCTGAGCCTGAAGAAGATTCTGTGTTCAACCATGGTGTTAGTTTGTCTTTTAAAATGACTTTTTTAACATTGTGGGTTTAAGTTGCATACTGAATTGTTGCTCCTATGCATTATAGTGAAGGGTAAACCATATTGTTGGCAGCTGTCATTGTTCAGATGGATTATTAATGTGTAAACAATTAAAGTAAGTTAAATTTCTCAAAAGTGTTTTCTTTTTCAATCTGAACCAATAGAATGTATGTTGCACTTCAAAAAGAGGATGAATTTAGGGTGGGGTAGATGGCTTGTTTGGCCATTGAATTGAGTGACAGATTTGTTTCTTAACTGCTTTACTTTCCTTTGTTCCATACCCCTTGATACTTGGAGAGCAGAAGCATTTTAAATGAATTACAACAAAAATAGCTTTTTTTTACAGTTAAGGTATGTCATTATTCCACTAAGGGGAGACAAAGGAGAAACTTGCTTTCTGCTGTAGAATATGAAGGACCTGTGGTGAAGTAATCTGATCCGAATTGGAGGAAATGTTATATTGCTTCCTGACTTGCTGATTAATGTTTCTGCTTCATGTAAAAATAGAGAAACTCAGCAGGTCCGGCAGCATCTGTAAACAGAGAAACAGAATTAACATTTGGAGTCCAGTATGAAGAAGAGTTGAACTAGACTCAAAATATTAACTCTGTTCCTTTCTCCGCAGATGTTGCCAGAGCTGCTGAGTTTCTCCAGCATTTGGTATGCAGTTCAGATTTTCAACGTTCGAGTAAAAGTAAACTACTATGAATGTTTCTCCCTCCCCTGGTTTTGAGAACAATATTCAAGTTTTGAGACTGAACTTATTGGTAGATGGAGAGAAAGTGGTGGTTCGTAGCCCACTTGAAGGTTTGTGGTTAAAATGGTACATTACTTAGTCCTTGGACTATCTATAGTTGTCTGTTTCATTCATGTCCTGCTGACACCTTTGGTAACCACCCACATTTTGGCAGAGCAGTGTGTTTCAATTTCAGTGTGACATTGGAGGAAGTTCCAATATGAAAGAAAACAATTCTTTGAGAACGCCTGTCAGTGAGTGGAAGTGCAGAGAAAGGAATGCCAGTGAATTCGAGGCTAGGACGAATTCCATTTCCTGGAAACATCTGCCAACTGTATGGTCAGAGAGGCAGCTCTAAAATCAGGCTTATCAGACATGCAAGAACCTTTGGAACCCATAATCATTGACGTGGAATTTTCTAAGTGGACAATCAAACTCACTAATAAGTGATTGCCATCAAATATGTAACATCTACCATATAGAATGTGCAACTTGTCAGTATTTGTGCAGTGCCATTGTGATAAAATTATCTTGGCACAGAAGGATGACATTCTATTCTAACTCCCAGTAGTGCAATTCAGTCATTCCTGTTTTGTTGTTCTTTGTGACCCTGGGATTTAGTTCCTTTGAGCGTGCATCCATTTGGCTTTTGTACTCAGTGTTTCTGCTTCCACTTCTGAATGGGCAATGAGTTTGAGGACGGTGTCACCTGCATTTTATTCAAAAAAAAAAATTTCTTCTTGCCACCACCTACCATGCCCTATATCTTACTCAAACATGAAATCTGCATTCAGAAGTATGATCTGAAAGTGGGAGCATCTTTGCGGTGTCCAACTTCTTTATAATCTGCAATTATCATCTGCATTTCTATACAAACTTAGTTCATCCGCTTGTGCTACAAAAGAACAATCCCAGCTTCTCCAATTTAAACCTTGTAGCTGAAAACTCCCTCCTTTGGTAAAACTGGTTTGCTCTTTCTTGAGGACATGTGCATCTTTGCTGAAGCAACCAGAATTTGATACTGCACTTTCTTTATAGCTGAAATAAAAATTGATAAAAGTTCAATATAATTTCTCTGCTTTTGCACTCAATACTTTTCATTATCAAGGTCAAGTTCCCATATATTTTGCAACTTGCCTTCAACAGTAAATACATATGAAACACCAGAATCCTCTGTCCTGGCCACTGTTGTATCATGAAGTCTGTGTTGCTTCTCCCTGATCTCTACCAGCTCTCATTACTTTTGCATTAAATTCCACATGCTGTTCTCTGCCCATTCTGTGAGCCTAACTATATTCTCCTAGAGTTTTTGTTTGTATTCTCTGTTTATCACAACACCAAATTTAGTATCTGCCAATTTAATTTAATTTTATGCCAATTTCTTTTTTTATTTTCTACTAATTTTTCCAATATCCAAATCATTTTTTTATCAATCTTATGAAACAATAGTTGTGGCACTGAGCCTTGATGGCCACCATTGTTCACCATCTCTCACTCTGAAAAATAGCCATTTTCTGTTTTCTACCCTTAACCCAATTTGTTTGTAACCAAGCTCACATTGACTGTTCCATTTCATGAGACTCTGATTTTTACCCAGCATTTTATGTGACATTTTGTCAGTTATATTTGTAGGCAATATCCATTGCATTCCATTCCTCTATCTTCATTTGCCTTGTAAACAAAAAATTAATTAAACCTGTTTTACTTTTTTATCGTTTCTTTTCAAGTGCTAATCATATTTTCTCTTGAATTTGGCCTTGAAGTTTTCATTTGACTTCCAGTGTAGACCATATTTTCATCTTATTTTCTGTCTTCCTGGCATAAGAGTTATGTCATGACTCTCACTGGACTCATTCAGTGCACTGGCAATCAAGTCCCTCTGTTCCAAAGAGTTTTCATAAGAATTAGTTATTAAAAGCAATATGCAAGATTACCAAACTTCCTTATTTGTTCAACCCAGGCTGACAGAAGACAAGAATAGGTTTCTATATTTTTTTAAAAAATCAATAGTTAACAGAGGTTATTACAGTCTAGCTACAGGAGAATGATCAAATTAAATGAACGTACAACTCTAAGCCCCTTAGAAACCTGCGTGCATACATAGACAGATGTAAACAAGGAAAACAGAAACACTGAGACAGAGGGAAAATTGAAAAAACTGTTCCATAGTCTTTTTTTTCACAAGATTTGTTTAGTTGGTTTTTGTATATCTGAAGTTTTCTCTTCAACCTTCCTCTATCCAAATGCTTCTATTGGTTTGCAAGAGGGACAAGGTGGCTGGTTCATTATGAAAGATCTTTGGTAGCTTTTAATTGGATAATACAACCTGTAGCATCTGCTGAAGGACAGGTAAGCTGGTTTTCTTCAGTTTAAAGTTGCTTACTGCAGAGATCTGAGGGAGTGAGTTTTCAGCTGCTGAAACCTGTGGATTTCTCCTCTGGTCTGGCTCACTGCTTTCTGTCTTGTTCACCGCCCATGTCATTCAGCCGCCTTACACCAATCACGTAGTTGTTGGCAGGTGAAGGACCTTGATAATTCGTAATTGGGCTGTAGTCCACAAATCAGTCAGCTTCACTTGTAAATGACCCCTTGGCTTCAGTTTATTTGAACATGGTTGCAACATAAACTGTGTTCACAATAAGTATCAAATTCCTTGCTTTCAAAACATGCAGCCATTCTTGTAAATCACTGTCTCTGTGGACATATAATTTAATGACAATATTTGTGGTTGAAAACTGGTAAGGACTTAATGTTAAATATTTACGTATACAAAGTTTTCAGAAAAGATAGTGAAGGTAAAAGGGAAGAGGGAGTACCAATTTTGTCAGAGAAGCCACGTGTATGGAAAATAGTTCTTTCTCATTTTTGCCCAGAATTTTTTTAAAAAATCACAAAAGTAAAAAGACATAGTCTTTATGTACGTTGTCCCATTCCTGTTTTTCTTGTCTGCTTTTGCTTCTGTTTTACCCTGGCAAGTCTCCTCTTACCACTCTTCAAATTTATATATTCTACATCAGATTTTTTTTCTTTGCACTTCTTCATTACTAACCTAAGCGTTATGATATGATCACTCTCTGCTCAAATGTTTCCATTTACCTTGGTTTACATTGGCCGAACTCATAGCACCAGGTAGACTGACGGCATACTGGCCAAGGCTGTTCTCTTTAAGATGAGTTCCTCCCTGTGGCTGCAAGAGCAGGCCCGAAGTTGGGAATACTGCAGTGAGTAACTCCCCTCCTGACTCCTCAAAGCCTGTCCACCATCTACAAAGCACAAGTCAGGAGTGTGATGGGATACTCCCCACTTGCCTGGATGAATGCAGCCCCAACAATACTCAAGAAACTTGACACCATCCAGGATAAAGCAGCCCGCTTGATTGGCACTACATCTACAAGCATTCACTCCTTCCACCATCGATGCTCAGTAGCAGCAGTGTGTACTATCTACAAGATGCACTGCAGAAATTCACCAAAGATCCTCAGACAGCACCTTCCAAACCCACAACCACTTCCATCTAGAAGGACAAGATATGGGAACACCATCACCTCCAAGTTCCTCTCCAAGTTACTCACCATCCTGATTTGGGTTAAAAACCTGGAATTCCCTCCCTAATAGCATTGTGGGTCAACCCACAGCAGGAGGACTGCAGCGGTTCAAAAAGGCAGCTCACCACCACCTTCTCAAGGGCATCTAGGGATGGGCAAGAAATGCTGGCCAGCCAGCGACACCCACATCCCACAAAAGAATTTTTTTAAAAAACTCTCTATTCTCGAATTAAGGATTATTGCAAATCACACTTGGGGATAAGTTGACCACCCCTCATAGCTCTTGGACATCTCCTTTAATATGTTGTGTGTTGCAGATTTTTGCTTTGCTGTCTGGAAGCCAATGAAATACCCTCATTGATGTGCTTTCCATTTTTCTCAAATATAACCAAATAGATTTTGTCTTTGCCTGCTCATGGGAATTGTTTTTCTATGCATATTGCTTCTCTGACAAAACTGAAGCTCCCCTTTCCTTTATACCTTCACTGTTTTTTCTGATACATTAATATTTAGCACCAAATCCTCACCAGTTTTCAACCACAATTATTGTCACTAAATTGTATGATTACATAGCCATTTGAGCTTGTAACTGACCAACATTATTCACCAAATTTGTGTATTTACATACAGGCATTGTCAATTTATCTTTGTATTCTATCCAGTATAATGTTATTTCCCTCTTGAGTACTATCCAGCATTCTCACTTTCATGCACCTTATTCCTCTCTGGTCTCCCTGTTCTTCAGACTGACACTGTGGGATCTGTTATCTTGGCCAGAAAACAGAGTTAGTTTCTCGTTTTGTCTGAACAGCAGCATCTGTAACAGTTGAACAGCATTAAAATGAGCTGCAGTATTAAGTTGATCATGTTTAAGTTCCTGACTCTGAACTGTGTTGAAGTTAAATCAAGCTGAAAATTTTACTGCAGTATCTTGACAATCTAAAGTATTTTGTTCCTTCAGTGAACAATGTTTTCATGATACATGTAGCACTAAAACTTAACGTTTTGGTCTTGTGAGTTTGTCATTGATGGTATTTTTCATTTGACTTTTCACTGCCTTGGATGGTTTTGCTTTCAAACTTTGGCTGAATTTTGAACACTTTATTGGATGCACCCACACCAGTTCTTGAATACTTTAAACATTTTGCATGTTGAGGGAGTCACCTGCCAATTCTCATTCTGCAGAATTGCTGTGCTTTTTACTTGACATATTTGAAGTGTTTAGGGGTTTCTTGAGGTAACCACCGGTAACCACAAAAAAAGGCAATTGTTAATGCATTGAATGCTATGATGTTTTACTGTGTGTTTTCATGCTTAGAGTTCATGCATTCCTGGAACAATGGGGCCTTGTGAATTACCAAGTGGATGCCGACAGTCGACCTCTACCCATGGGTCCTCCCCCCACCCCTCACTTCAATGTTCTTGCTGATACACCTTCTGGCTTGGTCCCAGTTCATCTCAGGACCCCTCAAGTAAGACATGAGACATCTTTCATTTTGTCCTGATTTTTTCTCTTTCTCCCTGCACCCCATCCACACCCTTGATGCTTAACATTGTAACTTGTTGGGAGAAGAGCAGTTTGTAAGGTTATTTACGAAGTGATTTGGGACTGAGTAGAGTAATTAAATTTTTGCAAATCATTTGTTTTCTCTTCCTAAAATCTTCGTGTAGATATGTTCTCATAGTTTGCATTCATTTAAGTGGTGCTCTGTTAGGTTTAAACACAGAAAATGTTGGAACTGCATAGCAGTTTCTTAATGCCTTCTCATCAGAGAAAAGTTGAGTTGCAGTTTAGATCAGTATCTAAATTTTAATCTTAATTTTATTTTGGATTGCTACTGTATACCATTTATCTTCATTGTTTGTTTGAATTCCTGCAATGGAGTCAATTTGCATCATGCAATAAGGTTGAGCAGGTTAGGCTTATTCTCATTGTGGTCAAAAAGAATGGAAGCTTGATCGGATAAATGCTGAGAGGGTATTCCCATTCATGGGAAAATCTAGAACACGGAGGCAAGTTCATCTATTAGCATTCTCCCACTGAAGACAACAATGAAGAAATTTTGTTTCTGTGAGGATCATTAGTCTTTGGAATTCTTTTTGTTAGCAAGTAGCAGAGTTGGGGCATTCGACCTTTTTAATGCTGAGTTCAATTCCTAATTAGCAAGAGGGTTAAATGTTATGGAGTGTTGAGACATAAACGGAGACTGCAACTTAAATCAGCCATGATCTGATCAAATGGTGGAGCAAGCTCAATATGCTGATGAGCCTGCTTCTGCTCCTTCTCTCTCTAGTGCTAATTTAACTGTTTTTCGACCCACCGCTGCTTGCCGTAGAGTTATACCTCCCTGATTCTTTTTCCTGTCATGTCATGTTATGTGCAGAAGTTTGTCCTGTTTTACTATTTGTTAATTTAACAGATTTTGGTTTGGTTCATTGAAATCAATAATGAATTTTTTTTTTTAATTGACTTTGTGCAAAATAACAATTTAGAAAACTATGTTCACTCAAATCTCAAACCCTTGTGTAGATTCCTGCCTCTCAGCAGATGTTGAACTTTCCAGAAAAGCCAAAGGACAAACCGGCTGACCTACAGAACTTTGGCCTGCGTACTGACATGTATACCAAGAAGGGCACCTTAGCAAAAGTAAGTGTTCTGCTTTAGTTGGAAAGGATTAATATGAGACAAAGTGTCATTAATCATGAGTACCCTGCCATATTCTGTGACAGAATCGAAGTCCCTAATAGCTTCTCAAAGAGAAATTTACAAATATTTGAGAATTTACAAGGGCTGTGGGTAAAGGCAAGAGTGTAACACCGAGTTTATTGTCTCTTAAGATTCAGAAAGAGCAGAAAGGGAATGAACAGGTTCCTTCTGTGCTATAAAATTCTATTTGCTTTTGAAATGGCAGAAGTGGCGTCACTTACTAGAAGGTCACAAATTCTACGTACCCTGATTATACCGATGTGTCATTGAGTTTAACTGCTGTTCACTAAGGAGAATTATAAGCATGGAATATTTGAGGTTTTGTGTGCTAGCTTTCAAAAATACTGTATAAATGTATTAATTGATACTTTTATTGAGATATTTTGTAGTGATGGATGGATGGATGAGAACATGGGATTGGGATATCATAGCTATTAGAGAAACATGGCTGAGGGAGGGACAGAACTGTCAGCTTGATCTTCCAGGGGACAGATACTATCGGAAGGGTAGAAAGAGAGGAAAGAGGGGGGGGATTTGCATTCTTTATAAGGCAAAACATCATGGTAGTAATTAGAGGGGATATTCCTGTGGGATCATTCAGTGAAGCAATATGGATGGAACTGAGAAATAAGAATACTTTCTTAGAATTGTTCTACAGACAACCTGAAACCCTGACTTGAGAAGGATCAAAACTCGACCTCCTCTTGAGAAATAAGACAGAGCAAGTAACTGAAGGGTTGGTGGAGGAGCATTTTGAGACCAGTGACCATAATGCTATTAGTTTTAAAATAGTTATGGAAAAGGATAGGTTTGAGCCACAATTTCAAGCTCTAAACTGGGGCAAGGCCAATTTTTATGATATTAAATGGCAACAGTCGTTTGGGAAGGCTGTTTGCAGCTAAAGGGACAACTGGCAAATGGGAGGCTTTCAAAAGCAGGACCAGCATGTTCCTGTTAGTGTGAAGGGCAAGGCTGGCAGGAGTATGGAACACTGGATGACTAGTGATAGTGAGGATCTGATCAAGAAGAAGGAGGAGCTATATGCCAGGTATAGACAGCTAGGATCAAGTGAATCCCTAGAACAGCATAAGGGCAGTAGCAGTATACGTGAAGGAAATCAGGAGGATGAAAAGGGGACATGAGATGTGGAGAAAGACATGAAAACCAGGGAGCTTGGGGAAATAAATAGTGATGTCTCAAAGATCCCATGTTATAGAAGAGGAGGTGCTGGAGGTGTTAAAACACATACAGGTCGGTAACTTAACTCCCGACACCTAATGACCTAATGAAGTGTATCCCAGAACATTGTGGGAAGCTAGAGAAGAAATTACAGGGCCTCTAGCAGAGATATTTGTATCATCGACAGCCATGGGTGAGGTACTGGAAGACTGGAAGGTCTTGTTATGCCATGATTTTAAGAAAAACCGTATGGAAAAGCCAGGGATCGAGAGACCGGTGACCTGACGTCAGCAAGTTGTTGGAGAGGATTCTGAGAGACAGGATCTGCATGCATTTGGAAGGGCAAGGACTGATTAGGGATAGTCAGCATGGATTTGTGCATGGGAAATCATGTCTCACGAACTTGATTTGAGATTTTTGAAGAAGTGACCAAGAGATAGATGAAGACAGAGCTGCAGACGTTGTCAACAGGGACTTTAGCAAGGCTTTTGACACGGTTCCATATGGTAGACTGATTATTAAGTTTTTAGATCCCATGTGATCCAGGAAGAACTGGTTGATTGGATACAAAATTGACTTGATGGTAGGAGACAGAGGGTCCTAGTAGAGGTTTGTTGCTCAGACTGGAGGCCTATGACTAGCGGTGTGCTACTGCGAACGGTGCTGGGTCCACTGTTGTTTGTCGTTTATATGAGTGATTTGGATGAGAATATAGGAGGCATGGTTAGTAAGTTTGTGGATGTTACCAATATTGATGGTATCCTGAACAGTGAAGAAGGTTATCTCGGAATACAGTGGGATCTTGATCATCTGAGCCAGTGGGCCAAGGAATGACAGAAGGATAAAAAGAGGTGCTGCATTTTGTTAAGACAAACCAGGGCAGGACTTGCACAGTTAGGCCTTGGGGATTGTTGTCGAACAGAGAGAACTAGGGTGAGGTGTTTCGTGTCTTGAAAGTGGTATCACAGGTAAACAGGGGGTAAAGATGATGTTTGGCACACTAGCCTTCATCGATCAGAACACCGAGTACAGTGTGTTACAGCTGTATAAGACATTGGTAAGGCCACATTTGGAGTACCCATTAGTAGATATTGGGACCCTTGCTTTTCCAATGTCAGCTGCTGGGTCACTCCACTACAAACTTTTCTCCAGCTGACAAATATCCATTGACCATTAGTCTGTTTCATATCACTCTGCCAATCTTGTATCTCATGTTTCTACTGTCAGTTTTATACTATGACCTCCAACTTTCCTCGAGTCTGTTGTGAGGCCCTGTGTGAAATGCATTCTGGAAATCCATGTCTAACACATCACAGCATTATGCTCATCAACCCTTTCCATTGCCTGTTCAAAAAACTCTAAGTCAGTTAAACACAATTTCCCCTTGAGAAATCCATACTGACTCTTCCTAATCAACCCAGCTTTTTTGCATGTGACTACTGATTCTATCCTGAATAATTGTTTCCAAAGGTCTCCTCATTACCCAAGTTAAACTAGTCTGAATTTTCGGGATTATCCTTGCAACATATTTTGAACAAGACTGTAATGTCAGCAATTCTCCAGTCTTCTGGCACCTCCCCTGTTCCAACAAATACTGAAATATGGCCAGTGACTCCACAATTTTTAACCTCACTTAAATCCTTGGATGCATCTCATCTGGTCCAAATGCCTTGTTATTTTTAAGTGCCAACAGTCTGTCCAAGACATCTTCCCTATTAATTTTGATCCCTTCTAGTGACACTTCCTTCTTCTGTCACTGTGCTTAGGTAGTACCCTCCATTTTTTTGTAAAGATTGATGCAAAATAGTCATTTAACACCTCAGCCATGCTCCCTGCTTGTGTCTGTAAATCCCTCATTTGGTCTCCGATCGGCCTAACTACTCCCTTTTAACCATTCTCTTGCTGCTTATATGCCTGGAGAAGACTTTGAGATTTTCCCTGTCAGTTGCTTGGAGAACAGAAGGAAGCTTAGCAGATGGACAGTGTGAACATTTTCAAAAATGTCAACTCTTCTCATTTTGGATGTTTATATTTTTCCACTGCTTCTATCTTGCAGCAAAGTAAGGCCAGTGTATCAAGGGATTGGACAGACCAGGAAACACTGCTGCTGTTGGAGGTGGGTACTTCTCATTCATAACTTTACTTTTCTCGCTTTTGTAACTGCTATTTCAGTAACTCTTTTAGCAAAGTACAGCATTAATATAAATTGTGTTTTATTATGAACACTTTTTCTGGGAGGTAATCAGAGTAAATTTGTCAATTGTGAGCTATTCAGGTGTAAAAAATAAATAAATAGGAGCAGGAGTAGGCAATTCAGCCCGTTGAGCCTGCTCTGCCATTCAATGAGTCCGTAGCAGATTTCACCTTTTGACTACACTTGCTTACCTGCTTTCTGTAACCCTTCAACACATACCTAATTAAAAATCTTATGTCCTCCTCAAATTTATTGTGTTCCAGCATCCACCATACTCTGGGTAGTGAATTCCACAGATTCATGATCACTTAGGAGAAGTAATCTCTCCTTATCTCTGTTTTAAATCTGCCACCCTTTATCCTAAAACCATGATCTCTTGATCTGGATTACCCAACGTGACGAAACAGCCTCTCTGTCTATTTTGTCAATACCCTTTAGTATCTGACATACTTCAATTCGATCTTCTGTTATTCTTCTAAACTCCAGAGAGTATAGGCCTAAACTGATCAATCTCTCTTGATAAGATAAATCTGTCATCTCTGGAATCAATCTTGTTGGCCTTCTCTGAACAGCCTTGAACGCAACTACAGATTGTTCTGCTGTAACATGTGTCTCATTAACGCGAATTGGCTGTAACAGGATTGATGAATAGTGGACGCTGTTTGGATAACATGAACTTTTTACTGTACAGTATAACGATTTGCTGTAGCAATTTCCCGAAAGTGCAATTTTCTATGACTATTTTCTTTAGTGTGAGGTCACACAAGAAGGCTATTATTGTGTTATAGGAGAACTACCTGTATATCCTTTCTCAATCATATTTTGTAACCTGTACTGCTTTGAAATTCTTGGCAAAGCAGAAGAACTAGTGAAACATGCTGCATTGAGAGTCCAGTTTTGTAAATTCTGTTCTAGCTCTCAGTAGGCATCCATTTGGGACCTGACGTACCCTTCCCCCTTGGGATCTGACACAACACTTCCGTACCCACATTGGACTGGTCCAAACCTGGCTTGACACTCTTACTGCCACCAGACCTGAACATCCCATACCTGACACCCACCTTCCCCACCTCTTGCCGGGCCTGATTTCACCGACCCACCCTCGACATCACTTACCTTGCCACCTGGTACATCGTAAACTCCCCAGCTGTCACCCTACGCATTTGACACCCTACATATTGACACTCTTCCCTCGCTCTCCGACAGTCTGCTCCTGACTCCCTACTTGCCTGGCATGCTACCACTTAACCCAGCTAATATCCTACTTATCTGGCACCTTAGCATCCCACTCATGGATTCCTGTTCTCCCTAGCCTCTCAACACACAAAAACGCCACTTGTCTTATGTCCTTACATTTTGACAGCAATTGTCAAAGTGGCTGTCAGGGTCTTTCAAGTTCACAATATAACAATTGACTACCTAAAAAAACAATGTTGTTTGCCTTCCTATGTCAGTTCTCTACCAAGAAAGAATTGTCAGAATTGAAGTATAGCTCTGCCTTTCTGAGAGAGAACTGAGCAGAATCTCCCCCATTCTGTACGTGAGATTGCCACTCCTTGGAAAATACGGCCCAATAGTAATTAACTTTCAGATAAATAAAATGAAAAACTGCAGATGCTGAAAATCTGAAACAAAAGCAGAAATTGCTGGAGAAATCCAGCAGGTCTGGCAGCATCTCTATAGAGAGAAAGCAGAGTTAACAACATTTTGAGTCCATTGACCCTTCTCCAAAACTGATAGTAGCTAGCGAAAGGTGATATGTGAGCTGAAGTCAGGGTTGGAGAGGAAAAGGAGTGAATGATAGCTGGAGATTGAGCCCAGAGAGAGAGAACAACAGTTAAGTGGGCAAGATATGATAGTATCCCAGGGAGAAAGAAGAGTTGATAATGGAGGCCATAAGTAGGTGAAAATGTGCTGAAAGCAGCTAATATCATGGCAGGGCCAGTGGTGGGAGGTAGATGAATAACATGGAAGGTTGTAAAATTATTGGACTCTGCATTTGAGTCCTGAAGGCTGCATGGTCCCCAAGTGGGGTAGTGAGATGCTGTTCTTTCAGCTTGCGCTTGAGCCTTGCTGGGGCACTGCAGCAGACCCGAGACAGAAATGTTGGCCAGGGAGCACGATGGTGTGTTGAAGTGGCTGGCAAATGGAAGCTCCCATTGTCATTGGATGAAAGGATTAAAATGGTTGATGGACATAGCGCTTACAAGTATGACATATTAACAAGTGCTCAGGATCAGACGGCAATCTTGTCAGGCATGCTTCATGAAGTCCTCAGCCACTTCAGTCTGGCTTTTAATTAACTGTCAACTGACACTGCTGAAGGCAACATGCTGAAAAAGCTTTTTTATCTTGTGCTAATCAAGACTGAGTTGTTTGAAAACCAAATCTCCATACCAACAACAAAATATCGCTAATCCTCAGGTCGAAAATATTTTTAAAACAATTGCAATTTGTGCCAGTGAAGAAATTTCTTCTCTTCTAAGACTGATATCACCAAACCCTTATTCTGACTTGGGTCCCCACGTTCTATGTTTCCCAGACAGTGGAAATCATCTCTTCTTATGATTCCCAACTGATGTAGCACTCTGCAAGTCAGGTTCCAGTATGAAACTCGGTTTGATAGTCGTAATTTTGAGTGATGATGTCTTCGGTGACAATATATCGAATGTTTCTTCAAAATCCTTGTATGCTACATCCACCCCTTTCGATCTTGCTAGTTTCATCTTTAACAGATTTGGCAAACACCATTTGTCTTTCATGAGTCTTATTGAATTTGCTTAATTGTACTTTTATTTAAATTTGTGTTATCATAACACTAATGATCAAAGAATCATACAGTACAAAATCGGCCCTTCTGCACATCAGAAATATACCACTATACTTCTGTACCATCAAAAATATACTACTACCTTCACTATTCTCACTTTCCTGCACCAAGCCTATAACCTTGAATGTTATGACATTCGAGGTGCTCATACAAGTCCTTCTAATGTTTGAGGTTTCTCACCTCAACTCCCCTCAAGCAGTGCATTCCAGACCCCCACCACCCTCTGAGTGAAAAACCCTTTCCTCATATACTCTCTAAACATCCTGCCTTTCACTTTAAAAATTTAAAAGCATAATTATAAACTTTAAAATTTTGAATATTATTGACGGTAAGCCAAATGGTATCTAGTTCTACATTTTCTCTGCTTTTGTCACTTAATAGTGGTTTTATTTTTTTACTATCTTCTAATCCTTGGGCATTCTTCTAATATTTCAATGAATTACAGAAAATCAATATCAATGCTGGCTGAAATTTGGAAGAGAAAATGAGTCCAAGCTCTTAATGTTTATCTGTTTTACACATTAACAAGTCTGAGGAAGAAATTGTCCTTTACTACTTCAGGATCCAATTTAATTGTGTATTTGGAGGAGTATGTAATTGAATGATTTTAGTTTTTGGTGTTGGCCGTATGAATGCAAAATCTGGTCATGTCTTGAACTTTCCTAAGTTCTTTACTGACTAAATATATTTTGTAAACACTATTGACTTTTTTAAACAAAAACTCGCTCATTCTTTGCTTTATAGGCTCTGGAAATGTACAAAGATGACTGGAATAAAGTATCTGAGCATGTTGGCAGTCGTACACAGGATGAGTGTATATTGAACTTTCTGCGACTGCCCATTGAAGACCCTTACTTGGAAGACACAGACTCCTCCCTTGGCCCTCTCGCCTTCCAACCTGTTCCTTTCAGCCAGTCAGGGAATCCTGTAATGAGCACTGTGGCATTCCTGGCCTCAGTTGTGGACCCTCGAGTGGCTTCAGCAGCTGCCAAGGCTGCTTTAGGTAAGTAATGTCGAGATTTTGCCCCTGCAATCTGTTATCTTCATGTAAATCTACATACCAATCTCTTAGCAGTGTCAACCTTGGATTCACCTTTCTTATTCTTTTATGCTAGTGTTTCCTCCCTGCTTCATGCGGATTTCCTTTCATTTTATCTGTAATTTTTTTGGGCATTCATCTTGATTTTCAAAAGTACCTTGCATGGTTTGTGCTTGCTGACTATATTCCAGATTGAATGGAGTGCAAGTCATCAATGGGATCAAGTATCGTGTGTATTATTATTGTTGAAATTCTGTGTCCCTCTGCCACCAGCTCACATTAATGATGTGCAGCTGAGTCAGTGTGTCAGCTTGAGAGCTCAGTGCTGTCAGGGAAGCAAGTAAATAATTGAGTGGTGAATATTTTGCTGACTTACTCTAACTGCTAAAGTCCTGGAATTTTATTGGTAATTGTAAGGTTTCATTCAAAGTAGGTTTTTGAGCAGTAATAAGTCTTATTAAGATTATTAGGTTTGTAAGTTATTCATTATTGATTTTTTTAAACAAAAACTCAGTGATGTGTTGCAACTGTAGGATTTGGGAGCTCGTTGAAGGTAGTGCAGTCCAGAGCAAAGATGCTAATACTGTGGTCTTCAGCACATGAAACTACTTTTGAGTTGAGAGCTGAGCTGCAAACTGTGATTCATCAAAGAAAGGTTAAGGTATATGGATACTTCTTTTGTTCCCGGAGGCAGTCGCATCCCTTAAGATAGGGGTTCTGGATTGATAAGGGGTCAGGAATATGAGAGGGTGAATGGAATTGAGGCAGGAAATGAAGGAACCTCTGTCTTAGCAATTGTGCAACAAGTTTGGAGTACTTCCAGCACATTTGGGCAAGTTTGAGGGCTATAAGGTAGTAAAAAATAACTGATTTTGGCATCATGGTACAGTAAGCCATTCAGCACGGGAGATTTGACTCTGACTCTGTTCTCTGCAGCAAACATCAGGAGTCCAGAAGGCAGAATTGCCTGCCTGGTGCCAGGATTTAGGACTTCAGGGGAGGTGATGGTGGTGTTGTGATAATGTCACTGGACTAGTAATCCAGAACACGAGACTGTTGTTTTGATGAGATGGATTTGTTTTCCACCATGTCAGATGATGAAATTTGAATTTAATAAAAATCTAGAATGAAAACGAAGCTTAGATGAATGGTGACTGTTGATTGTCAAAAAAATTCATCTAGTTCACTAGTGTCCTTCAGGGAAAGATTTTTGCCAACCTTATCAGTTTAGCCTCAATGTGATTCTAGACGAATGGCAATGTGATTGACTCTTGACTGCCCTCTGGGCAAAGTATGTATGAGTAATAATGGTAGCCTAAACAAGTAGTGGAAACATCATTTCAACATCTATTCTGTCAAGCCCCTCATAATTTTTGTAAGTTTCAAAAAAAAATCACCCTTCATTTTTCTAAATGCTAATGAATAAAGCCTTCACTACTTCTGTTGTTCTTGATACTGCAATTCTTTCATCCCAGAATCAGCCTAGTGTGTCCCTTTTGAACTGTTCCCAACACCAATGAATCCTTTTTACAATATGGGGACTACAACTTTGTATAGTACCATGGACGAGGACGCACTGGCACCCTGTAGAGTTATAACAAGCCTTACCTATTGTTAAGCTCCAACCCCTGAGCAAAAGAAGCCAAAATTGCAGTTGCCTTCTTAGTTACTTGCTGCACTTGCATGTCAGCTTTTTGATTTTCATGCACAAGAATACCCAGACTCCTTTGCACTGTGCATTTTTTTTGGAGGCTGTCTCCATTTTGCCTTTTGAATCATCCCACCAAGATGCATGATCTCATTTTCCTACATTTAAGCTTCATTACCAAGTTTTTGCTCATTCACTCAACCTACTTAAAATCCCCCTTCCACCTATTTCTGAAACATCAAATTTTAATACATTAGATTCTCCATCCTCCAAAATCATTAACATAGATAGTAAATAATTGAAGCTGTAGGACTGATCCTTTTGGCACTCCACTAGTTAAATCTTTCCAACCTGAAACAGACCCTGTATTCGTCAAATACTTTGATCTTTGTGGTAGAGACTTTTATTACATCTTTCCTCCAATGTGCACATTGTCTGATAAGTTTGGGATCTTCAGAGTGTCCTCTGTTGCGAAGATCAGTACAAAACATGGGTTTAAATTTTCTGCTGTTTCCCTGTTCCTCATTTTTAATTCCCCAGTTGCATCATCCAAGCATCCGACACTTTAGCTATTCTGTTTGTGTATTGTAAAAACTCTTGCTGTTTGTTTTTTACATTTCTTGTCAATTTACCTTGACAATAAATTCTCTCCTTTTTTAGCTTTTTAGTCATCTTTAAAAAATTCCCAATCTTCTGGCTTGCAACCATTTTTTGCCACTTGTGTGACTTTGTTTTGGGTTGGACACTCTCCTTGACCACTTTTGCTAACCATGGGAGTTTCATCCTCATCAAATCCTACTTACTGATCAATGTAAGTTTTTATTGAGTATTATGAAATATCTGCTTAAATGTTTGGCACAGTTTATTGACTGACTTACCCCTTAGTATGTTTTCCACCCGCTTGAGATAATTGTTTCTTCATACCTCTACAATTGCCCTCATTTAAATTGAGAACACTGATACGAGACCCAAGTTGCTTTCCTTCAAATGGAATTGAACTTCTACAGTGGTGTGATCACTATCTAACAGGATCCGTAACTATGACATACTTTCAGTCCTATCCTATTATACATGACCACGTCTGAAATAGTTTGTTCTCAAGTTGGTTGTGCAGCATTCTTCTCAAAACAAAATCCCTGATGCACTCTACAAATTCATTTTGCATCTTTGCTTTGCCCACCTGATTTGTCCAGTCGATATACAAATTTGAAACACCCATAATAATTATGATGCCCTTCTTGAATGCCTAATTGGATCTACCCTCCCGTGACTTGTTTTTCCTGCTATTCCTTATTTCCACCACTGATTCCACGGAACCATCTACTGCAGTTCCATCACTGTTCACTCTGCACTTTATACCTTCCTTTTACAAGAATGCTTCCCTATCTTATTGGCCTGTTTGTCAAATAATCCAGAAGTCAAATGCCTTTGAATTTTAAGTTTCCATTCATGGTCACCACACAACCCCATGCTCTGTAATAGCTATCAAGTTATATTAATTATGTTATCAACTCACCTATCTTACAAATACTGTGTGCATTCAGATCAAGAACCTTAATCTTTGACTTTTTAACTTTTACAGAATCTCAGAACTGTTACGATGCAGAACGAGGCCATTTGGTCTGTTGTGCTTGCATTAGCTCTTCAACCGGGTATCATGACCTAGTGTGAATCTGTCTTACTTTTTCCGCATTTCTGTGCACAACATTTCTATCCAAATAATCATCAATATCCTGTTTAATGCCTCAATTGAACCTGTCTCTACAACTTTTGCAGGCAGTATATTTCATATCCGAAAAATTTTGTGTGTATTTATTCATATCACCCTTGCTACTTTAAGTCAATGTCCTCTCATTCTTGTTCTTCTTAAGAAGGGGAAAAGCTTCTCCCTATCTAGTCTTCAGCCCCTTCATAATTTTGAAAATCTGTTTTCCTCCCACCCACTTTCTCTCCAAGAAGAACAGTTTCAGCTCCTTCAACCTATCCTCATAGCTGAAGTTTCTCATACCTGGAACCATGCTTGTAAATTGCTTCTGCACTTTCTCCATTGAATTCCATCTTTCCAGTAAGATGGAACCCACAACTGTACACAATACTTCAGCTGAGATCTTCTAACAAGTGGGTGGCACGGTGGCTCGGTGGTTAATAGTGCTGCCTCACAGCACCAGGAACCCGGGTTTGATTCCGCCCTCGGGTGACTGTGTGTGTGACGTTTGCACACTCGCCGTGTCTGCGTGGGCTTCCTCTGGGTGCTCCAGTTTCGCCCACAGTCCAAAGATGTGCAGGCTAGGTGGATTGGCCTGTAGTGTTCAGGGATGTGTCTATTAGGTGGGTTATAGGGGGATGGGTTTGGGTGAGATGATTGAGGATCAGTGTGGGCCGAAGGGCCTGTTTCCACACTGTGGGGATTCTTTGATCTATTAAGTGTCGTGCAAGTTCAACTTACCTCCTTGCTCTTGTACTCTGTTCCCCCACGAATAAAGCTTACTAACCTATGCTTTATTAAATCCTCTGCCCACCTATCCTGCTGCCATAATGAGCTGTGCAGATACATACTTGAGTCCCTCTGCTTTGGCGCCTCGTTTTGAATTGTATCTCTTATTTTATCCTGTCATCAAGTGTTCTTCTGACCAAAGTGCATCTCCTCTCACTTATCTGCCCACTCTATCAACTCTTCTTGGAGTTCCATACTGCACGCTTCACAGTTAGAATCCTGCGTCATCTTTGAAATTATCTCCAGCACACCATATCCTGATCATGATTATATGTCAGGGTAAGCAAGAGCCCCAAGTTCCTCAAGCAATAAACACTTGCTGCTGCTGCTACGTGAATGGTACCGGCATCCAGCATTTCCCACGTGCTACAGCTGGAACACATTGCCTGCCTAGCCAGTTCTTCTATTTAATTAATTAATTTGGATTTTAAATGTTTTAAAAGTGAATTTATTAACTATACACTTGACCTGAAATAATGTCTAGTTTAAACCACTTGGCCAGTCATGGAAGAGATGGAAGAAATACCTACCAGTCACGTATCTGTGTTCCTGTGATGTTGCAGTTCAGCTCTTACAGGTAGAAACAAGTTGAGGAAGCTCTCTCCTGTTTTTTTTTTCATTTATCTCCTTCTGCTGGTGTTCTCTCTCATACATTCTGAAGGCACTGTATTCTGACACAGCTCTCTCACATACACTTTATGCACTGCTGTCCCCAATCTCTCTTGTCCTGCTTCAGATGCACAGGATCCTCCTCTTTCTCTTCCACTTGTTGGTGAATATCTCCTCCTGGTTCTCCTGTTGCTTGTTCCAGTTTGGCTATCG